AGGTGCGCCTAAGAGAGCCAGTAGCAGGGCTCTTTACCTGGTCAGGGAAGTCAGGGAAGGCTTTGAGGGAGCTGGTGGGGCTGGAGGGGGGTAGGCAGGGTCGGGGGAGCGACGATGACACCCTAGAGTGGAGGGGGGCCCTCCTGAGCCTTCAGGCCACAGGGAATTTGGGCCCCTTTCCCTACCGGCCAGGGAAAGCTACTAAGGGATTCTGAGCTGGGGAGGGGTGACCAGACCAGATTTGCGTGTCAGATGTTGCTTTTGGTTGCCCGGTGGAGAGTGGCCTGTAGGGGGGCCAGTGGGAAATGGGGAACCTGCCTAGCTGAGAACCCACTGGGAGCCAGCTGTCGGCTCAGCACACACAGGGCCGCAGAGGGACAGGCTGGACACTGGAACCACAGATGCTCTCAGTCATGAGAGCGGCCTGTGGGCACCATGGCTGGGACCCAAGGCCCCTCAGGGGCATCCTGATGCCGCTTCCAGCCAGCCAGCAACGGGGAGACAGGAATGGCCTCTGGACAGCCAAATGCCTGGCTCAGGTTCGGCCTTGTTCCGCTAAGGCCTTTGTCACGTCACCCTTACTTTGCACGCACTCCTGACCCAGCCCACTCCTGGGAGGAGGAGTTGGAGAGGGCTAGGCTGCCGTTGGTGGGATGAGGATAGCAGGGAGACGTGACGGCACATGGAAGGGAAAAGGCCACAGAATAAGCACCCACGCACAAGGGCATGTTTGTTCATTTTGGAGAGCTCATCGCAGGAAGAGGTGGGGAGCACTGGAGGCGGCATGTTTAGAACTCAGTGAGGACCCAGCTTGGCCAGGAGAGAGGACTGGGGCACCAGAGTAGGAGGTGAGGTTCATGCAGGAAGAGGGGACCTCGAATGTAAAGATAGACTCCAGAGGTCAGGGAGGTCCCAGGAGAGCAAACTCATGACACAGAGCCACCAAACGGTAACCTGGATGAGACCTTGGGAAGCTCGGGCAAGCAGGTTGGACTGATGGACAGGCTGCTTCTGAGGTCTCCAGACCTGGAGGTGAGGGACGCCGACCTGCGGGGGGTTGTGTGATGCAGCTGGAGGCGGCCCCCTGGTGCTCAGGGCTCCAGTTTGCAGGGGAAAGGTGGGCTGGTGGGATCAGGAGGGGACAACATCCCTCCTTCCCCTCTTCCCTCCTCCCCTCCAGCTTCTTCTTCCTCTCTTCCTCCCCACAGTTGCCTTCCTTGAGCCCGGAGGGCCCAAGGGTCTGTTAAGCTTCCCCTCCATGAAGCCCCCCCCCCCCCCCAGAGACCCAGAACATCCAGTGCCTGGAGAAGCGGAGCTAAGGGCAGGGGCAGGGCAGGTGGGGGGTGACTTGCAAAGGCGACTGCCTGACCAGTCCGTCCCCTTGTTCCTTGCTTGTGACCCCCGCACAGCACTCCAATTCACAACCGCTCCGCTCTGTGAATCCCCAGCGGTGCCCTTGAGGGGGTACGCAGCTATAGGTAGCCTCACGGCACCTTCTGTCTGAGCCTTAGGGCTCCGCATCTGCAAAATGGGCAAAATAAGACCATCTCCCCAGGTGGCGGTGAGGATTGAAGGAGACGCAGAGCATGAAGCCAGTTGGCGGCCAGGGCACGACAGCTATTCAGGAAATGGAGCGGCCAGTCCTAAGTGAAGGAGCCAGGATTTGATCCTGTGCCTCCCATCCCCAAGCCTGCTGCGGGGACCGTCCTGCCGTCCTGCCACACTTAGGAGAAAAAAGTCAGATAAGAAACCCCCTTCACCTGCCCCACTGGAGCTGGAGGCCGGTGTGGGCTTTCAAGCCCGGCCCCATGCTCCCCCCGCCACCGTCCGGTTAACCTCAGTGCCCTTCGCTGTAAAGGAGGCTACGGCTGTCCTGCCTGTCCCCAGACCTGCCGTCCCGGGCCGTGGGATACAGGGTAATGCTGAGGGTGTAGGGACGAGCTGAGAAAGCTCCCCTGCAGGCCTGCCCTGAACACTGTGGTTGGGGAGGAGCAGGCAGATGCTAAGGCTGTCTGCCGACAAACATCTGGCAGGCGTGTACTCGGGGCCTCGCATGTGCAAGATGCCCCACCAGCTCTAGCCTCCAGGAGCATGCGGTCCAGCTGGAGCCGGGCAGGTGGGGGCCCGCGTGCCTCACCTGCTGGGTACGAGGGTGGGCAACGTGAGCTCCATCCACCTCTGGAGCAGCCTGGTGGGGTGTCTGATGGAGGCCTGGTGCTGTCTGTCCCCCCACACTGCCTTGCGTCCACGCAGATGGTGACACCAGCCACAAATGAGGGGTTGCCCGGGGACCAATGAACATTGCCAGGCGGGCTGTAAGGCACTGGCACAGGGGGGCTAGGAGGGCTTCCTGGAGGAGTGGGCTTAACTGAACCTTCTTCCAGCAAGCACAGCTCGAGAAGCAAGCCCTGGACTAGAGCCCGGGGAGGCAGGTGCAGGAGGCATAGGCAGCCACACCCAGAGCTGGAGGCCTTGAATGCCAAGCCAAGGGGTCGGCCACTAGCAGGGAACCTTAGGGGGTTGTGGGGTGGGGGGCAAAAGGGTGGTGTTTCTGGCAGCTTTGCAGGGTGGTGGATGGGGTGGAGTGCTTCCGGTATGGGGGCACTGAGGTGAGCAGGCCAGTGGGGAGGTCTGGGGCTGCAGAGACAGGAGCTGGGCCAGGACCCGGCAGAGAGGAGGAGGTGGTGCAGAGGTGTGCAGGGATTCCTGGCAGAGCAGGGGGCACCTGAGGGCACCTCTGGGTCAGATGCCCTGTGACCCTGCAGCTCCCTGATGCTGGCGGAGTCCCAGGAGTGCCTTCTCTGTGACTGTCCAGGCAGCCGGGCTGTATTGACCACCTACTTGGTGCCAGCCACTGGGTTCTCCTCCCCAGCCTCAAGGAGCGCCTCATCTGTCCAGCTCCCTCATCCTGGTCAGAAGCCCTCTCTGCTGTTCCCTCCGGGGCCTGCCAGCTTCTGTGGATGGCACTCCACGGTGACATAAAGCTCTTTACCTTCCAGCCCTGCCCTGAGAGGTCCACACCTGGTCTGCCCTTAGCCCCGGCTATGGAGCCTCCTGTGCCCATAGGCACGTCCTGGGTGCTGAAGGATGAAACTCTGGGGAGGTGGCAGGGTTCTGTCGTGCACCCAGCTTGTCGGGAGAGGCAGTCCAGACCCTCCTCGGTCATCCGCCACTGTGTGGATGCTGCCTGGGCCCACAGAAGCCTCCCCGAGGAGGTGTGAGGGCTGAGCGCGTTGGCGTGTGGATGGGGGCATCCATTCATGGAGAATTTCAGAAGCCCCCCATCTTATCACCAGGCACCCTGAATGTGATGCTGGCCCTTTAAAGCAGATCAGGGCTGGCTTTTGGGGGGAGACATCCCAGATTTCTGCCATCTGCTTATGAGCCTGGGCCAGGGAGGGGGACCACCGCAGCCCCCGACAGGGCATTAGAAGGGCAGGTGGAGCCGGTGGCTTCGATTGCAGTAACCCGATCCCGAGGGGGAGGTGGCAACCAGGGGCGGCTTCAGCCTCAGCCTCAGCGCCACTGCGGGGCCGCCAGGCTGGGAAGGCAGCGGCCTGCAGCTGAGGGCTGGGCTGGGAAGTGCTGGGGCTGGGGCCCGGGTCAGCAGCCACTGCCTCTTCTGCTGGCCCATCTATTTTTAATGAGCTCCCCAGGGTTCTGCAGCGGGCAGGATGCAGACAGGCAGGCCCAGGCAGTGGAGGCCCGAGGTCCCAGCCCTGCCCTGAGCCCTGGCCTCCCAACCTTTCTGGGCATGAGAGGGTGGCCCTGGGGCCCTGCAGCCCCCCGGCCAGGCAGGGCTCTCCATGAAGTTGGTGCTGAAGATGGATTCGAGCCCAGACAATGACAGCTGGTTGGAGGATCAGTGGGAGCACTGGTAGGGCATACAGGGATTGGTGGGGGGGGACACCTGGGGGGGGCAGCTCCATGGAGCTCTGGGTCTCTGGTCTGACTGAGGCAAGAGGCGAGGCGGGGGGGTGCGCCTCCTAGGTCCCCCTGGGGGCTGGGCCACCACCTCTCCTGGGTGACCTTGGACTCCTGGGTGTCCCTTGCTGTGTACCTCAATCTCCTGGTCTTATTTGGAAAAAGGCTCAGAACTGGCCCCAACTTCCTCCAACAGAATTCTCCCAAACATCCCAGCCACACCAAGCAAGGTGGAGTGCCCGGGGCTGGTGGTGAGCCAGGTGCTGGGGACAAGCCCACAGTCGCTGCAGTGGGGTTGGGGGCACAGCGCTGGCCTGGGGGGCGGGGGGAGAGGGTTCTGGCACAGCCAGTTAGAGTTGTGGTGCCGATGTGCTTTGGTCTGTCCCCGAGCTCACGACACCTCTAGCCCCAACTCCGGGCCTTCCTTGAGCCCTCTGCAGCCTTCTGTCCAGGGTCTGTGCTCTGGGCAAGCGATTTTGTGGTTGAAGAGATGAAATGAAGAACCCAGAATGGGGGGGTGTAGTCTCTCATGGAACAGGCTGAAACTCACCACATTGACGCCACATTTCCCTTCACTTGCTCCCAGGGCTCAAGAGGCTTTGGTCTTCCTGGGCTGGGGGCATGGAGCACTCTCCTGAGGCTGGGGAGGGGCCTCTGCCAGCACCTCAGGTTTTATCGCTGCAGGGGTTGCACGGGGAACCCCCTACTCCAGGTATCCCTTGGAGTCGCTTCTCAACTCTGCATTCTCCATGGGTGAACTGGCCTCGGTACCTGCCCTGACCCTGGGAGGCATTTCTCTGGCCAAGCTGAGGCTCTGACCAGCTGGGCCTTCCAGGCACTGCCTCCTGGTTGGCAACAGAATGGATAGCTCCCAGCCGGGAGGAGCGGGAATAACCTGGAGCCTCCCCTTTCCCTGCCTGTTACCCCTTGCCTCAGTGCGGGTGGACACCAAGTCCCATTCTCTGGGGGCTGTGATCTGCCTTCAAGGGGCCGCCCCTTGGAAGAGGTACTAGGAAGACCTCGGTGGGCTAAGTAGTACCCCTGGGTTGGTAACTTCGGCTTCCTATGCTCACCAGGCTCACCCATGACATCAGCTTGGAGGAGTTTGAAGATGAAGACCTCTCAGAGATCACCGAGGAGTGTGGCATCAGCCTGCAGTGCAAAGACACTCTGTCCTTGCGGGTAAGAGCCGGCTCTCAGGAGCCCCGGGGGTGGGAGGACAGTGGGGGACAGGGTGGGTCGGGACAGGAGTGAAGGCATCCCCATATCTACAAAAGGGCCTTCAGGGTCTATATGGCATCCTCATGAAATGAAGTGCTCCATCAGGAGTTTTTGGTTGTTTTTGCCAGGGGGGCCAAGGCAAGAGGCAGCTCCCTCAACTGCCCACAAGAAGGGAGAGCCAGGAGGTCTTCAGATGGAGGGCAGTAGCAATTAGGGCCAGGCTTAAAGGAAGGGTCAGGACTACCCTAAACCCTTTCCAGAGCGGCCTTGGCAGAGGGCCTGAGGCAGAGCAAGGGTGGAGTCTGGTGGACTCTGCAGTGCTTTGGGACAGGAGAAAAAGAGCCAAGGCACTCCCTTAGCTGCCATTGCACCAAACCACGCCACACAGCCCTGCACACCCTCCCTGGCCCGCCGTTCTGAAGGCTCCTCCCGAGGGTTAACCCAGCATTGCCGCTGCTTTTGGCCTCCTGGCTTTGTCAGAGGACAGATGGCTCTGTCCGTTCCCTGAGTTCTGAATCCTGCCAGGAGGTCCTCAGCATCTGGGTAGCTTGGGTCAGACAGGGATCCCCCTGTGTCTTTTTCAGAACAGGAAGAAGGGGCCACTGGCCAGGAAACAGGAGGCAAAGCACAGGACTAGGTTGCAGAGCCCAGAGCTTCTGGCAGCCCCCAGCAGGGTGGGTGGCCAAAGCAGACGTGGTATTAGGAGAACGGTTAGCAAAGGAGAGCTGACATGTGAGCCGGGGGGCGGCGGCGGCGGGGGGGGGTGGGGGGGGGTGCCTGCTTCCGGGTGACCTCCTGTTGCCTGTTACGGAGATTCTGTAAGCTCTGCCAGGCAGGGGGAAACCAAGGGGTGAGGATGACCCTGCAGTACCCCCTGCCCCAACCCTCCCCGCTCTGGCCAGGCCAGCAAGGGTGGGGAATGGTCCCAGGGCCCTGAGGTAGCTTCCCTAAGGTCACACACCTGTTCCGGAATTCCACACCACCCCTTCATCCAACACACACCAGCAGAGTTTTGGAGAGGGTGGTCCCTGCGACCAGCCAGGGCCCTGAGGCAGTACTAGCTGGAGGTGTACCCTGTGGAGCCTTAGACAAGCTCTAGGGGGCTTTCACACACTGTTGCCAGTGAGTCCTCACCTCCCTGGGAAGCGGGGAGGCAGTTAACTGGTGAGGGATTGGCGGGGGGGGGGGGGTGAGGGGGGGGCCGGGCAGGGGATCTGTCCAGGGTGCCGGGGAGTTAGTGGCAGAGCGGAAACTAGACTAGAGTTATCGAGATTTAGGATGGCCTGAGGGAACACCTCAGGTTGGAGGGGCCTCGGACTGTGAACAGGTGCCGCGTCCAGGTGCCCCCCTCGCCCCTCCCCCCGGCACCCCTCTTCCGGCCGCGCTTAGGTCCTCCTGTTCGCACTGCCGCCCTCCCTCCATCCTCCGCCTGGCTGAGACTGTTTTCCCAGTTTCCCTCGCTGCCCCCTTCAAATACTAACCTCCCCCCCGCTCCATCCCTTATGGGGCCCGAACTCCTTGGCGACCCTGCGTCCCCATGGCAACAGCGGTGACCTCACTCTGGGCTCGGCTTACAACCCCGGTGAGGTCACTGGCCGTTGCCAAGGGAAAGGGAGGGTGCAGAGAGTCAGGAAGGCGGGCACCGTGGGGAGGGGACGGTGTGGACTGCCAAAGGCGCCGACTAGATTGGGGAGCAGTCGGTTTCGCGCATCCTCGCGGGGGGCGGGAGGGCGCGGCCCCCTCTCGCCGGGCCCCCTGCCTCTCTCCCGTGACCTCCCCCTTTGCGGCCGAGGTAATGGGCTCGCCCGGGCGGGGGCCGGTGCGCGGCGGCCTCGGCCCCGCCCCGGCCCCGCCCCCTGACGCCCCTCCGTCCGCGCCGCGCAGCCCCCGCGCGCCGGGCTGCTGTCTGGGGGCGGCGGCGGCGCGGGGAGCCGACTGCAGGCCGAGATGCTGCAGATGGACCTGATCGACGCGGCGGGGGACACTCCCGGCGCCGAGGACGACGACGACGACGAGGAGGAGCGCGCAGCGCGGCGGCCGGGAGCGGGGCCGCCGGAGGCCGAGCCCCGCCAGGAGCCCGCGCCCCGCGGCCAGGGACAGGGCCAGGGCGGCGGGGACACGTACCGGCCCAAGCGGCCCACCACGCTCAACCTCTTCCCGCAGGTGCCGAGGTCTCAGGTGAGGCGCGGGCAGCGTGGGGCGGGGCTGAAGGGGCGGCGCCCTGAGGGCGGGCGCCGGAGGCGTGGGGGGCGCCGAGCAACTCGCGGCCCAGCCCCGGCCGGCGGGCTAGAGGAGCGAGGAGGGGCTGTGGGAGAGGGAGCCGCGGGCGGGCGCGGGGAGAAGTCGGCCTGGTGAGACTTCCCAAGGGGGAGGGCCCAGGGGAGGTGGTCTGCGCCGGCAGGTGGGATCTGCCCTGAGGGAGAGGGGCCAGGGCGGGCCGACAGGGTTTGGACCCTTGAGGAGTGTTGGAAGGAGTGAAGGGAGCGAGAGGGACAGTGGAAGGATCTGGGTAAGGAGAACAGTGGGGGCTTAAGGAGGGCAGAACAGACCTTTGAGGGCTAGTCGCAAGGGTTTGGAGCTTGGGACCTCAGGCTGGGGCAAGGTTTTCCCTTTAGGGTGTGGGGGTCCTGGTGAAGGGCAGAAGCAGGCCTGGAGAAAAGAGCATCTACAGTGGTCGTTGCTGGGGGAAGGTCATGAGGAATTGTGAAGAGGTGGGCAGGCAGGCAGTTCGAGATGTGGGCAGCTGGGAATTCCCAGAAGGCAGGGAAGAGGCATGGGAGGCGGAGCTGCTTGGCTGAGTTGGGGGCCCAGGGCCCCTGGGCTGGGTGGCTGGATGCCAAGGAGGGTTGAATAGGGTGGGAGAGAGCCGGCTGTGGCCCTTTGTCTTCCAGGCCCAGTCAGGAGAGGTACAGAAGAGGGACTCAGGGAGGTGGGGCTGTTGGTGGAGGGTGCAGGGGCTGCAGGCAAAGGATTGGTCCCTTTCCCAGAATCCTCTGGGGTGGATTTTGGCAGCCAAACTCCTGAATGTGAGGGCCTAGGAGTGTGTTCCCAGGGGAGGGAGCCTAAATCGTTTGTGGGGAGCCTTGTTTGTAGGCATGGTGGAGAGGGGTCCCAGGGCACCAACGATGTGGGATGGGCGGCCTGGGAGATCCAGGAAGGAAGGCTGCTGACGACTACATCTGTCATTCCTCAGTCATGTGCTCCTAGAGGGGTGGGGGAGCCATGCTATTGATTCATCATTTGGATGATTCATCCCGGCCCCCCAGGCCAGCTGCTGCGAGACCCTTCCTCATCCTTTTTTCAGCTTCTCCTAGAATATCGCTGCCCCTTCCCTAGGCCATAGCTTCCTGAGTCCCAGGACTTGGCTGGAAGTGAGCATCTACCACGTAAAGCCCCCGTGTCTGGGACAGGGGGTCTGGCTCTGTCCTCACACGGCTCATGCTTCTCCCCCTCTCCTCCTCCACTCACCAGCACACATACTGGTCTTCTCCACCTTTGCTGAGGCTGATAAGAGCATCTCCCCAAGGGTTGGCCAGCTTCCCTGAGCCAGGAGGGAGAGCCGTCTAGAGCCATTAGGTCTGGCTGGGAGGGCTCTGATTTGCCACCTCTCCTGGCTGTTCAAGGAGGGTTGGGGGTGAGGCCCTTGGCAAGTGTGTGTGTGTATGTCTGGGGGTGGGGGGTGCAGCAAATGGCCGAGGGATGGCCTGATGGGGGCAGGGCCAGGGCCTCCCTGTGCCGGGCACTGTTGACGCCTTCTGTCACAAGGGCCTTTTGTTTTCTGTACAGGACACACTGAATAATAATTCTCTGGGCAAGAAGCACAGTTGGCAGGATCGGGTGTCTCGGTCATCCTCACCCCTGAAGACCGGTAAGTCAGGACCCTTTCCCTAACCTGGCCCTCCCCCTGCCCTGACTCAGTTTCCCCTGCAGAGAGCAACCCGGCAGGCTCCATCTTGCCGAGGTGAGATAAACTGCCCATCCCACAGCCTTGAGCAGGCCCATCTGAAGTTGGCTGGGACGGGAGTGAGAGCACTGGCCCCAGAGCCCACCGTGGCCTAGCGCCCGGGAGCCTTCCCGTGCTCAGTGGAGGGCGCGGGTGGCCTGGGAGTCAAGGGCGAGGCCACCTGCCTCGAGCGCTGACCTGCCTGCCCTCCAGGGGAGCAGACGCCTCCACATGAGCACATCTGCCTGAGCGATGAGCTGCCGCCCCCGAGCAGCCCCGCCACCACCAAGGACCGAGGCACCTCCACTGACAGCCCCTGCCACCGCAGCACTGCCCCGCAGATGGCCCCTCCCGGCGCCCCCCCCGCCGCCCCCCCAAGCAGCCGGGGCCACGCGCACCGAGACCGCATCCACTACCAGGCGGACGTGCGGCTAGAGGCCACCGAGGAGATCTACCTGACACCAGTGCAGAGGCCGCCGGACCCTGCAGAGCCCACGTCTGCCTTCCTGCCGCCGGCCGAGAGCCGGATGTCGGTCAGCTCCGATCCAGACCCTGCGGCCTACCCCTCCGCGGCGGGCCGGCCGCACCCCTCCATCAGTGAGGAGGACGAGGGCTTCGACTGCTTGTTGTCCCCCGAGCGGGCCGAGCCGCCGGGCGGAGGGTGGCGGGGGAGCCTCGGGGAGCCGCCGCCGCCTCCACGGGCCTCGCTGAGCTCGGACACCAGCGCCCTGTCCTACGACTCGGTCAAGTACACGCTGGTGGTGGATGAGCACGCACAGCTGGAGCTGGTGAGCCTGCGGCCGTGCTTCGGAGACTACAGCGATGAGAGCGACTCAGCCACCGTCTATGACAACTGCGCGTCTGTCTCCTCGCCCTACGAGTCGGCCATCGGGGAGGAGTACGAGGAGGCCCCCCGGCCGCGGCCCCCCGCCTGCCTCTCTGAGGACTCCACGCCGGACGAGCCCGACGTCCACTTCTCCAAGAAGTTCCTGAACGTCTTCATGAGCGGCCGCTCTCGCTCCTCCAGTGAGTCTGCCACGGGCGCGGTGGGGGGCCTGGGATGGGGCAGCGCCGAATCGAGGGTGTTCCTGGAAGGTGGCCTTGCCCGTCTGCTTAAAGGTGTCAGGACTGAGAGCCTGCTACCTGTCCCCCCACCAAACCTCAGCCCGAGCGGGTGGGCTCTCCTCCAGCTCAGCCCCCTCGCTTGCAGGTGCAGAGTCCTTCGGGCTCTTCTCCTGTGTCATCAACGGCGAGGAGCGGGAGCAGACACACCGGGCCATATTCAGGTAAGAGCCGCAGGCTGGGCCGGCCAGGCAACAGTGGGGCCACCCGTCCTGGCCTCTGCCATCCCTGCGTGGCCTAGACCCAGAGCTCACGCTGGTGTCCATCCGTCCGCTCAGCCCCAGGGGGCCAGGGTCCACCCTGGCAGAATTGAGGGCAGTGTGGCCTTGGCCGTGCCGCCAGAGCCCGAGACGGAGCCCCACATCTGGCGGGGGGACGGAGCCCAGGGAGGGGGCCCGGCAGAGATGATGCCCAACCATGCACAAGGCACACCCCTGCCCGCCCTCCACAGGGAAGTGCTCACTTCCTGTTAACCTCTGTGGTTCTCGAGTGGCTCTGGGCACCTCCTCCCTGAGCCAAGTTCCTGGGCGACAGGTGCCCGTCTGCGTGATCTTGCTCTTCCCCGGGAACTAGCATGAGCACAGGCCCAGGAGACTTTGTGGAGGTTTATTGAACCAGTGCCGCTCTGGGGGCCGCGTGCCCCCAGGGCTGGGTGGGAAGCCGACAGGTGACGGGGGGGGGGGGGGGGGGGGGGAGGCCCTGCGGGTGAATTCCTTCCTTGCCCTTGTCGGGGGGGGGGGGCAGGTTTGTGCCTCGACATGAAGATGAGCTGGAGCTCGAGGTGGACGACCCTCTGCTGGTGGAGCTGCAGGCCGAGGACTACTGGTACGAGGCCTACAACATGCGCACGGGCGCCCGGGGGGTCTTCCCCGCCTACTATGCCATCGAGGTCACCAAGGAGCCGGAACATATGGCAGGTAGCGTCCTTTCCCCTCCTTGGCGCCACCGGGCCCCCCCACATTCCCCCTTTGCTGCCAGGTGACTTCAAAGCCCCAGGGAGGGCCCTGGCAAAGGGGACGTTAGGTGCATCTCCCACCAAGAGAAGGGAGGCCCCGCCGAGCTGGGACACCCGGGGACTGTGGTCCCTTGTGCTGACTCAGCCAGCCCTCACTTCCCGCTTGCTTTCCAGCCCTGACCAAAACCAGCGACTGGGTGGACCAGTTCCGGGTGAAGTTCCTGGGCTCCGTCCAGGTTCCCTACCACAAGGGCAACGACGTGCTCTGTGCTGCTATGCAAAAGGTGCCTGTTCCCCGCGCCCCCCCGGCCCGGGACCTCCGCCCTCTCCTGGGGAGAGGGGCGCCCAGTGCCTGATGCCCGCCCCTCACCCACAGATTGCCACCACCCGCCGGCTCACCGTGCACTTTAACCCGCCATCCAGCTGCGTCCTAGAGATCAGCGTGCGGGGCGTGAAGATTGGCGTCAAGGCTGATGATTCCCAAGAGGCCAAGGTGACCACCCCGGCCGCCCGCCCCCCTCCAGATCTCCCACCTGTGGTCCCTGCTGGCTGATGACACTCTGCCTCTCATTTCCCTCCTGCAGGGGAATAAATGTAGCCACTTTTTCCAGTTAAAAAACATCTCTTTCTGTGGATACCATCCGAAGAACAATAAGTAAGTGGGAGGGGACAGAGAGTGATGTGTGAGGGGACGGCCTGGGGCCGTGTCGGTCGGGTGCGAGTCTGCGAGTGTGTCTGGAGAGGGTTGAGCCCCCGCGCCACCCTCAGACAGATGGTTCTCCTCGCACAGGTACTTTGGGTTCATCACCAAGCACCCCGCTGACCACCGGTTTGCCTGCCACGTCTTTGTGTCCGAGGAATCCACCAAAGCCCTGGCAGAGTCCGTGGGGTATGCCCGTGTGTGTGTGTGTGTGTGTGTGTGTATCCGTGTGTCCTGCCGGGCACCCAGCCCCAGAGCACGCGCCAGTCCCCCTCCCAGCTCTGCACACCTCGTGGCCTCGTAGCTCCTGACCGTGTTGGCTGTTGGGCCCCTCCTTCAATCGCAGTGTCACGCAGGAAGTACCCCGTGGGGACAGCAGAGCGAGCAGCTCTCTCCCAGGGAGCCCAAGCCCTGCCCAGGAGCCCAAGGCTCCAGGTGAAAAACCGCGGGTGGAAATGGGGTTCTTCCCGTCACCTGGGTGTCTGCCTGCTTCCTAGGAGAGCATTCCAGCAGTTCTACAAGCAGTTCGTGGAATACACGTGCCCCACGGAAGACATCTACTTGGAGTAGCTGCGCCGCCCCGCCTTCTCCATCCCCGGGCCCGCAGGCCGCACAGGGACAACCTGGCTGCTGACGGGATGCGGCGCTGCTTGAGGAGGGCCGCCCGTCACCACCCGAGGACGGGGAAGTGGGGGCCTTTGGCCGAGGGTGGGGGAGGGCGGGGTTTCTGGGGAGAGGCAAATGCAGTTTATTGTAATATATGGGACTAGATGCATCTATGGAGGACAGAGCAGGCTGCCCGGGGCCTGGGAGGCAGCGGGGCTGGGGGGGCAGGCCTCTGGCCAGGAAGGATGTCCGTCGTAGGAGCCGAGGGCTTGGCCCCATCCTGGGCGTCGCTTCCCCTGCCAGGGCCTCTGGCTCTCTCTCCAAGCCGATGCCACCTGCCAGTGCCCACCCGCCCCCCCATCCCCAGCGCCCGGCCGAGCCCAGCCACCTCCCAAGGACTTCACAGCAGGTGGGGGTGCAGTCCCTGTTCCCCTCTGTCACTTGTGTGGGCTCTGGGTGGCTGGCACGCTGGCCCCCGGCACGTGTGGGGCCTCACCAGGGAAGAAGAGCGCTGCGGCAGGGCCCCCGGCCCGGCAGGAAAAGGAGGCTTCTGGACGGGCCCGGGCCAGCCAGGGCCTCTTGGCTGCTTCGGCTGTAGCCCCAGCTTGGTCCATACCCCCTGGCCCCTACTATTAAAGTGCCATTTCCTGTCTGGACCGCAGTGGGTGTGTCTCCCTGTCCCCTCCCCCCGCCCCCAGCTGGTGTCCGTGTCAGGAAAGCCCAAGCCTTGGCTGCACAGAATAGCTTTATAAGGGGCTCCCGTCACAGGGGTGCGTCGTAGTAATACTCAGCCATGTCCGGCCCGTCCCGCTTGCGCTGCTGGGCCCGGGAGAGAAGGGGTCGAGGCCCTCGCGGCCAGGGGTGCTTGGGTCGAACCCCATAGTCTAAGGAGAGAAGGGGGTGTGGGTGGCAGGGGAATCCGCCCTGATCACCCCAGAACAGTGGTGTTTGGGATGAAAAGTCCCCGCGGCTGGACATGGGTTCCCCCCCCCGCCGGGCATGTGTCCCACACTGGGGGGCAATGGGGGCGGGCAGGGCTGAGATACTACCATCCACTAGGCCCGAAAGTGGCTGCGAGAGTTCCAGAGGGGCTGAAAGTTCTTCAGGGACAGATCGCTGAGGCCTGTGGGAGATGGTGGGGTGCTCAGCCCTGGCCCTGCAGCCCACTACCTACCTCCCTGTGAAGGCTCAGGGTGGGGGCCTGGGTGAGCCCCGACGCCCAGGGCAGGGCGGGGAGCGGGAAGCGGCACGCAGGGCCCCCTGCCTTCCAGGCCCCCCGCCCGGTGGACCGCTGACCCCGTGCCCCCAGGAGTTACCTCAGCGGCTGGGGGCGGAGGAGGGCAGCAGCCAGGACGAGGTAGAGGAGGAAGAGGCTCAGCCCGGCCCTGGGATACAGAGCCCCCAGCATGGCGAGAACCATCTCCTGCTCCAGCCCTTGTCCCCCGGCTTCTGCCTGCCCCTCCCCCGGCCGGAGGACAGAACCGCTGCCACCCGCCAGGGCCACCTCACAAAGGCCGGACATTCCAGGGCTCCGCGGCGGGGCCAGAAGCCTCAGCTGAGGTTCGGTTCGGTTTTTTGACGCTGTCGGCCAACAGGTGCCAAAAGGCACCTTGCTCGTGTCCCTGCCCGAGGGTTAAGGGCACAGACCTTTGGAGTCTGATCTCGGTTCACACCCCCACCTTGCCTCTTGGGAGGCGTACCGGTCACCGTTGTGGGCCTCTGTTTTCTCCTCTGTGGGGTAAGGTATGTACCTCTGTGCCCAGGCGGTGGCGCACAGGAGAGGTCACGTGGAGAGCCCCGACCGTCCCCACTCTGCCTCCTCCCCACCTCCTGCCGCCGCCACCCTGTCCTTCCCTCAGTGATGCCAGGAACATCCTCCGCCCGCTCAGAGATGCCAACGGGGAGGGGGGGCCTGCTCTGAGAGACTTCCTCCCTAGTTCCCCAAAAGCTTACAACAGCCTGGCCCCAGGGCTCCCCACCACCCCTGAGGCTGGACAGACGGATTTTGAGTGAGGTGGCAAAGCCCACAACTTGCTCCCTGGAGTGGAAGCTTCCCGAGGGTAGAGACTGCTTTGTTCACTGCAGGATCCCCAACCACACTTGGTGGATGCCCAGTAAATGTTTGTTGAATGAATAAACGCCACGTGATAGCATGGAGCTGGTCTCTTCTCAGGCTGAGGCAAAGCTGTGGGGCCCTTTCTTTGCTTCCTGCGCAGCCTCCCATCTGGCACACGGGCCTAGCTCACTTCGGAAGCCCCGAGGCTTTAAACCCGAGACCCCGGGCCGCCTCCAGACCTGTGGAGTCAGGACCTGAGAGCTGAGCAGGGCTCTGCGCTTTGGAAACCCCATCGCTTCTAAGAGCAGACCTACTGGGGGTCCAGCCCTGCGCCCCTGACTGCCGCTGGGCCCAAGGCCCGGAGAGAGGCATCCCTGGCTCCTGGTCCTCAGTAACCCCCAGGGTGACAGGTGCTGGCATCTCCTCAGGCTGTCCCCGTGTGCTCTGAGCCCACACACTAACCGCTCAGTGGTTCTCTCCCTTTCTGTGTCCTGGACACCACTATCCCTCACAAGCCCGTGTCCCCATCCTCCGTCCTCACTGCCGCCGGGAACCCTGAGTTCTGGACACACTGCCCAACTCAGTCCCTTGTCCCTCACCCTCCTTGCCTCTGAGAGGCCACCGTCTCCCTCTCTATCCACACCCAGTCCCTAGCCTGCCTGGGTGCCACCTATACCCTGTCATCCCCCGGCCACGGCCTTAATCTGGCCCCAACCACTGTTGGAGGTTTCTGCCATCATGTCCCCGTGCTCAGCCTCCGGCACCAGCTGCCGGGAGCCCCCCCGCACCAGGCCGCTGGGGTGCGGTATACTTTTTCATTTTTAAGTATTTTGTTTGAGAGAGCAAGAACACGAGTAGGGTGAGGGGCACAGGGAGAAGCAGGCTCCCCACTGAACAAGGAGCCCGATGCAGGACTTGATCCCAGGACTCCGGGATCACGACCTGAGCCAAAGGCAGACACTTAACCGACTGAGCCACCCAGGCGCCCCGGGATGAGGTTTAAAATGCTCCCCTCCCCACTGCCTTCCGGAGGCAGGTCTGAGTTTCTTGCCTGGCCTGTTGGGATTTGGCCCTGACCTTCCCCTCCCTCCCGCTCCTCCCTCCCTTCTGCTCCAGCAGTGACTCACTGCACAACCTGCTCTCCCAGCCGGCCCCACACTGGCGCAGGGTTTCCCCTGCTTGAACCGAGGCCTCCCTGAGGGGTGCACCCTCCACGGGCATCCGTCCAGGCAGCGAGCACCTCCACTCACCCACCTCCGACCCAGACTCCCTCAGGTACACACTCCTACCTACTCGCACGCCCCAGCGCGCTGCATTTATGTGTGTCTGCGGATGCGTGAGCGCCCGACAGCAAGGCCAGCTTTCCTCCCGCCGCACGCACAGCCCCCGGCCCAGAGCCCGCTGACAGGGCACGTGCCCAGCAATGGTCCCCGTACCCAACAGAGGTCGGGGCCCCAAGCTGTGACCACCTGAAGGCTTGTCCCTTCACCTTCCGGCCCAGGACCTGGGCATGCCTTCCCAGAGGCACTTGCGGGGGGGGGGGGGCAGGTAGCAGAGGAGGGCTGGCCCCTCCTCCCGTGGCTCCCCCCAGGGTGTCAGAGGAAGTGAGGCAGGACAGAGGTGGTGCGGATGGAGCCCTCAGAACTCTGAGGGCGGCTCACCCGGCTAGAAATTCCAGCAGGAGAGTTCGGTCTATTCACGGGGCAAAGGGGACAAGCGGCGGAGGCTGAGGAAGGGAACAGACCAGGCAGAAAGGCCAGGCTGCAGTCGCCCCGTCTGGGCGCTTGTACCCTCCCCAGTAGCCTGTGCGCGGCTCCAGGAGACTTGGCCACCAGGGAGCTGGCAGGGGGAGTGTGCAGAGACCCCCAGCTCCTACCCCCTGAACCTGCACCAGCTCAGGCTCCCAGCCCCTGACGCCCGCCCCCAGCACCAGCTGTGGGAGAATACCTCCGGCTGTGAAACGGGGGCTCAGGGTGTCACTGCACCAAGCCAGGCCCACCATTCACCAGCCTCCGTCACAGAGAGGCTGGCAGGCTGGAGGACAGGGCCCTGCAGGGAAGGGGCAGACAGAGGCTCTGGCCAGAGGCCACACGGGCAGCGGTCTCCCCCTGCCCCGTTGGACCTTGTCTGTTGTCACCAGGGACCGGTGACAGAGGAGCTGAGTTCACCTCTGCGGCTGCCACGGCAAGCCGCTTCCCACGCTCGAGGATGCCAGACCCCAGCTTTCTGTGGCCGGAGGAGCCCAGGTCCCCACCCCGACGGGAGGCTTCTCGGCCCAGGGACGAGGTGCGGGCCGCCATGGCTCCATCGCCGGAGGGTGAAAAGTCGAGAGGATATCTGGGGGGAGCGGGGGGGCGGTGCTCGGTGGGCCAGGTGGAAGTGCCAGGAGCCCTGGGCGGCGGGCATGGAGAGGCCACGTGCTGGGACGCTGCCAGAGTCAGTTTTATTAGGGCGAAGGGGCCCTGGGGGTCCCAACGGCCGGGGCACCCCCTGCCCCTCCCTGCACCCCCGCCCGGGATGGGTCAGCCCCAGCTGTAGAAATAAATTTTCTGCCAGGTGGGCAAGTAATCCATGAGAGGCCCTGCAACGAGAGAGAGTTCGGGGCTGAGGGCCAGACTCCCATCTGACTCCGCTCTACCTAAGGCCCTTCTCAGCCACGCTGCCCTAATACGGCTACTCACATCCATCCAGCCAGGAGCCCCACTGACTCTCCTGCCTGCCTGACCCTTGGGAGGCAGCAACAGCAGCGACCTCTGTCCCCCTTTGCAAAGACCCTCAGGCTCAGAGAAGCCACGTGGCTGAGGTAAGAGCTCCGAACAGCCTGGTGGGCTTCAGTCCTGCCGCAGAAGCCCCAGAGAAGCCCCAGGGGTGTATGGCTCCAGGATCCCGAGGCCGGGCTAAGGTTGACAGGCCAGTGTGGCCCAACACTCCTCTCAGGACAGGGACCTTCTTCCAGCAACCCCTGAGGCTCTACGGGCCGGCCTGGCCCTGCCCAGGAGCTGCCACCCACCCAACCTGACCTCTGGGCTCCCTCTCCCGACTGTGTCAAGAATCAAATAACAAGGGCGCCTGGGTGGCTCAGTTGGTTAAGCGACTGCCTTCGGCTCAGGTCATGATCCTGGAGTCCCGGGATCGAGTCCCACATCAGGCTCCTTGCTCAGCGGGGGGGTCTGCTTCTCCCTCTGACCCTCCCTCCCTCTTGTGCTCTCTCTCTCAAATAAATAAATAAAACCTTTAAAAAAAAAAAGAATCAAATGACAAGGAGATAAAGAGGAAACAGTCAGGGACACGGGGCCACTCGAAAGATCTGCGATACTTGGTAATCACACCCCCATTCCGCACTTACTTGCAACCAGGCCAATGCCCGGGACGTGGTCCGCCAGCAGCTGGAGCAGGAAGAGAATCCTTGCCCTGCAGAGAGAAGATGAGCAGGAACTGCCTGGCCCGGGCCGCCCACGGCTCAGCTTAGGACTGGTGCTTCCTCACAGCATCCCAAAGACTCCCGCCGCTCTCTCCCTCGTCCTGCCCTTCCTTCTCCTGAGCCAACACACTCCTGGGGCAGTCCCAACACAGGGCTGGTGAGGGCCCAAAGGGAAGGACAGCCCCACCCTGCCTTCGAGAAACCCCCAGTAAGCCAGAAGCGCTGAGCCACACTGAAACCTCGCGAGCCAATGTTGAGTGACCAGGCCTGGCGGTGGCGGGGGGCCCACACTCAGTGGAAGGGGCAGGGGCCAAGACCCTATTTTTTTTAAGAGACAGGGCTTTCCCACAGGAGAACCTGGGGTGAGACGATAGCGTTGGGGACGGGAACAAGAGAAACGATGATAAGACTCGGCATTTGTTAAGTGATTCTGTACCAGGTGCTCCTGTATGTCTGAGGTCATTTAAGGCCTCCCGCGACCCTATGAGGCAGGCAAGAGCACGTCCCCGTCGTACAGAGGCACAGAGAGCTTCAGTAACTTGCCCCAGGTCACACGACTGTAAGGCAGCGCGGCCCGAGATGACAGTCGGTCTGACAGGAAGGCCAGAGGGTTCCCTGCAAGGCCTATACCCCAGAGCCGCTCAGCAGCTTGCTCCCTTTCCTCCGGGGTAACCAGAACTTCTCCGGCAGGTTTCTAGACCTTTCTCAGTCTGGGCCACTGCTGTGAGGGTGCTAGGCTGGTCCGCTCAGCAGGGGCCACACTAGAGGCTTGCCGCCTGTGGGGCCACCTCTGCGGGTACTGTCGCCTCAAAATGCCTCAGTTCCGAGATCCTGGGGCTTCGCTTCCTCTGCAAAGTGCAGGCCGTCTGTGGGGGGAGCTCATATGGTCCATGTAAGTCTCTAGAATATTCCTTTAGAGCAGGGAATAGGATTTGGCTTTAGTACCTTGTGAGCTTGCAAACTTATCTGAAAAGAGGAATTACCAGGCCACGCTAGTTGCACCAAGGTGGTATTGAGTGTGGCACAAACTCACTTCCTGTGGCCTCAAAACCAAACCAAACCAAACCCAGACAGAGGCTGTGCGGCCACAGTATTAAGCGTAATTCCAGGGACTACTGCCATCTTCCAGCAGAGGGCTTAAGACAGGAGCCTCCAGTCTGCCTCCTGGCCCCTGACCCCTCCTCAGATCGCAGTCTGACCTCAGGCAGTCACCCGGCAGGCCTTGGGGCACTTGGCCCCACGCCACCCCCTACTTGCCACCAGTGGGCCTTCTGGGTCTGGCCCTCACAGATGACAGAGCAGGCATGGCGGTGGCCCCTGGCTCTGCCACAGCCTAGCTGGACGGCTCCGTGTAAGGTGCCCTGCTTCTCTGAACCTCAAGGGCCTCTCTGCAAAGTGGGGCTCCACACTACTGGGCAGGAAGAAAGCCCGCCCCTGCCACCATCCCCGGGGCCCTGCCCTCGGCGCGCCGCCCCTGCGTGACTCCCGCACACCCGGGCCTGCGGCCTGAGCGCCCCGAGGCAGCGCCGGGCTGGCACTTGCCACTGCACGCAGGTTGGCACACGGCGGGTGGTCGGCGAACCCTGGATGGGAGCGGGGGAAAGGCGTGCGCAGGGGCCGGGGCCGGGCCTCACTCGGAGAAGCGGTCGTAGAACGGGGAGCGCAGCAAGTAGGAGAGCAGCAAGATGGTCCGGCGCCGCAGCTCCAGCCGCTCCCTCCGGCTCAGGCCCTTCCTGTCGCTCAGGAGGCTCAGGCTGGGGGCAGAAGGGGACGCGGTCAGGGCCAGCAACGGGGCGGGGCGGGGGGCCCATCTGCTCAGGTGAGGACAGGCCCGCGGCATGAAGCCCGGCAGAGGGAGCGGACTCCCCAGGCAGGCCTGGGCTCACCTGGTCACGTCCACAGCCCCAGACAGGAGCCAGGGTGTCCACGACCGCTGACCCCATAGGCCCAGGCTGAGCACTGACGGCCAAGGTGTCAAGGAGGTCTCCGGCACACGGCCCACCCACCCACTCCCCATGGGGCCCGCCCCGGAGGGCCGGCCAGCGGCGGGCAGAGGATACGGTGCAGCAGGGGCCGGGCGATATACAAGGACTCTGCGATGGTCTCCTGCAGCCCCAGCGGGGTGGGGGGGGTGACCCTCAGCTCCTCGTGCTGCTGCCGCCGCCGGCCCTCCTGCTGCGGGGGCACTCCCCAGTGCCTCGAGTGCAGGGACGGGGCTAGAACACAAGGGCAACGGATGAGCAGGCAGGCCCGGGCTGACCTCCGCCCTGAGGCGCCCGGGGCCACGACATCCTACACTTACTGTTCTGGAGGGTTCGTACCACTCGGTTCGACCGCTTCCCCACGTATGACTGCTCCTGGCCGTCAGCGCTCTGGTCACCATCTAGCAGGGACAGACAGAAGGCCATGCTGTCAGAGGGACATGTTTGCAGCGGAGCCCGCAGAGAACACACGTGCAGCGAACGCTCCTGGGCTAAGGGGGGAATGGGTGGGCGTGGGTAAGCCTGGACTACGGTGGTGGCTGAGGCCGGACGCTGTCACCAGGGCCATGCATCAGCACTCTCCCCGGATGGGGAAAGCGCAGCATGACTCGTGGTAGGGGAGCCAGCCAAGAAGCCAGGCCTCCCAGGGACTGGAGTGACGGAGGGAGGGCCCATGTCTTCTCAGTCCTTTGCTTTCAATATGACCAGGTGGAAAAGCAAAGAACGATTCCCACAGAAGGCCAGAGGCATCAGGCCTAGAGGCCAACCAGTGAGGAGTCCAAAGCCCCGAAGAGACAGATCTGCCGGGTACCCTGCCTCACGCAACTGTGGCTCTTGATATACAGAACGAGGCCCAAAGACACGGTCGGCAGGACCTCTGTCTCCTACTCATGCTGTCCCCCATTCCACAAAAAAGGATGAGGACTCTGGTGCCAGGATTCCTGAGTTCAAGTTCTGATTTTGCCCCTAGCCTCATCTTTCTTTTTTTTCTCTGTACAATACAGGGTGATGAGAACAAACTGAGCTGACGGAAATAGATGTGCTCCACGAACAGACAACACTATACTCAAGTTGGCTGGCTCTAAACCCACAAATTAACTCCGTGTGCCGGGCCACTCCAGAGCTTACCCGGGGGCTGTGCCTGGGTCTTCCTGTCCAGCGGAACGATGGGGGGTGAGGTCTGGAGGCCAGCCTTGAACCAGATCAGCAGAAGCATCCGCAGGACAGCCCTGGGTTGGGAGTACGGCAGGGCTGCAGGGGAGGTGGCTAGCCAGCAGGGGGCCAGGGGTGCTCTGGTGAACCCCACACGAACTGCTGGCCTGAGTCACCCCCACCCAGGGCCTGCCCTCCTCAGTCCCAACGTACTTGGCCAGCTGGATGAGGGCGATGACGAGCCAACGGCCCACTTCACCCCACACCTTGGCGGCCCCCATCTCCATGAACACCTCCACACACTCGAGCACGCTCAGCCATGTCAGCAGCTTCTGCTGGGACAGCGACTGCAAGGACCCCAGGCCAAGAGGTCAGGGTTGGGGCGGGGGCCCCAGGCCCAGGCCCTCCTCCTAGGTGATTCCTCTAACAGGACAGGTGGATTTTCCCCTAAGACTACCCGTGTAGGCCTGAGTTCTCCAGATGGCAGAGGCTACTCTATGTCCCTGAAATTCAGTCTTTTCATCTGCGACAGGGGTACTAACAACTTGACCCTCCACCTAATGAGATGGCTTGAAGCTCAGATGGACGTAGGCACGGCTCACACTCTTGAGACCGTACATGCTACACACAAGGGCTGGCGATTACTGCTTCACTCCCAAGTCCCTGTGCTGCCCGCCCTCAGCTCCTGACAGAATTCTCACCACAGGTAACTTTTTCCGAAGCTCCTTCCGCAGGATGCCATCATTGAGCAGCACAAGCAGGTTAGAGGCAGAGTACACTGAGGGTGGGAGGAAGAGTGTGGCCGTGAAGGGCTGGTTCTGAGGCCTCTACACCCTCCCCTTCTCCCCACAGCTGCAGGTATCACCTGTTACCTGCTCTACTCCGCCAGCCACAGGCCGTGTGGAAACCCACCTGCCTCCCCACCCACTTCCTCAGAGCTGCCCACTCCCCAGTATGATCTTGTGTGGGTGGCTGGAACAAGAAAGGAGGGCTTGATCTCGGCGACAAAGCAGCTACTGCCCTGCTGCAGAGCCCTGGTCAGCCAGCTGTCCAGAACTGCCCACCGCTCTCAGCAGCCATGGATGTGTGGTCTCGCCTCTGGGCCTCAGCTCCCTGCAGCCTGTCCCTGAAAGGTGGCTCCACCTCTACCTCCACTACCCTCCGGGGTTCCCCGGGCAAACACCTGAGGCAGTCACAGTCTGGGGCTCCTCGAATGTGCGAAATCTGGGCTTGAAGCCTGGCTCCGGGATCACCAGTAGCTGTCCCCTAACCTCACTGAATTTCTGTCCCCTTTACTGGACACTGAGGACAGTAACAGTACATCGTAGGACTACAGGGAGGATTAACTGGGCAAAGGCAGGCAAGGTACTTGGGCCAGCCGCCTGACCAGTCAAGGTCCCCAGATTTGTCTCTGGACTATGGGGGGCCCGAGACAGTGGACTCAGGACCTTTGTCCGACTCAGCACAGGACCATGTAACGGAAAACCTAGGACAGCGAACCGGGGTGGTCCTCCCTCTGGGAAGCCCCGCCGCCCCCCATCCGCCCCAGAGCCCCGCTCACCCAGCTCTGACAGCTCGTGCGAATCGGCGAAGCGACCTGGGGAGAAGGCACAGGAGGCGACGGTGAGCGTTTGCCTCAGCCTGCGGCTTCGGGGCCCTGGACATCCCCTCCCTGTGCCCTACGGGAACGTGGAAGGAACTTCTCAAGCACAGCGATCACTACCCTGACTCCGAAGGGAAGGGGCCAGTGAGGTCAGAGGTCAGAGCCCCTAAGGGGTGGGGCAAAGGTCAGGGTAGCACCTGCCAGCAGGTAACTGAGGCCCCGCACTGCCGTCTCCAGCTGCGCCGTGGCGGCCGGGTGACGAGTCACGTACTCCTGGTAGCGGAGGCTCAGAAGCCGCAGTTTCTCCATCCTGCCCTCGGGACCGACAGACTCACGGACCGACAGCACGACGAGCTGCAGCACCCTGCTTCCTGCGCCCTCCTTCCTGCTTCCGGTCCTAGGCCCGCCTCTTCGTTGCTTAACTTCCGAGGGCCAGAAGGATGATGACGCGAAGGGCCATTGAACCACCCTTCACCCCATTTCTTAAATCCCCTCCCACTAGGGTAGCGCTTAGCAACTGCGGGCCTAATCCCGCCCTCCCTGCTCCTTCAGGTCATTGGTTAAGCACACTCTCCGCCCCCGACCCCCCGGCGTTGTGGGGACCCGCTGCTTCCGCCTTCCGGGTGGGTTGCTCTTGCGCCTGCGCAGTTAACAGTTCCAAGAACGCTCCCGCGGTAGTCTGAGCAGTTCATTCTAGAGAATGGAGGAGGATCCTGGAGTCTTTCCAATAGAACGCCGAGAGGCTCGAACGGGAGGACCGTATTTTAAAGGCCTGGGAGGTAGCTTGCAAAAGGAACTTCGATCAGACTTGGGGAGGTGCGGGGAGAGTCCTGGCAGGCGCCCGTTTGGCCAGTTGCCTCGTCCCCGGACCCCCACCAGACGTAGTGCTGGGGAAACTGAGGCAAGGAAGAATCCAGCCTTCCACGCAGTCTCGATTCCCTGGTCAGCCACTGTTAGTGCTGGGCTTCGGCCACAGTTCCCGCATGGACTGTGCGGACATGCACTCCCATCTTCGCGGAGAAAACTGTTTCGGCCTTCCGCTCTTGCCTGGGGTGACTTGGTCGAGTGTTTCCCTTCTCTGGGTCTCGAGTTTTCCCATCTGTAAACTGGTTTGAGGGGAGACTTGGTCCTTGAACTCGGGCTCAATCTCAAAGGGCTTTTCGGCCCTCGGATGCACCTCCCGGTCCTCAGCTGTTCCCCAAGGGGCGGGGGAGACTCCTGGGAATCTTCCCTAACCGGGTGGCCTCCCTGATAGGGGTTGTGGCAGGAGAGAAGCGGCCAGAGGTAGGGAATCTGACGCTCCGGGGAGGCCGCCACTGATTGGCTCCGTGGGGAAAGGGGCGGAGCCTAGGTGGGGTCAAGGGGCTGAGCCCTTGCGGACTGGCCCGCTGGTTCACCTTACTCTGAGAGTAGTAATACATTATCTTACCTGATTCTCTCTACGGGATGTTATCTGCAGGTGTGCAAAGGATCAGCTTAAGAACGCCCAGTCACATTCGAATCTTGGTCTAGTCTAACCACAGCATCTAGGCGGTTTAAGTAACACACCTTACTAGGGAGCCACAGCCCCTCCTTGCCCTCCCCTCTCCCTCACCCTCCTCTCCAGCTTAGTTTTCTTCTATATAAGGTGGGGAATCAGATCTGCTCTCGCTTCTCATGCCAAGCAAGGATGACCCAGGGAGATGTGTCCAGGGGCCTCAGGAGAGGCTACAGGTCTTGGAGAACAGAGGGGGTGGTCGTGGGCATCGCCAACATCGTTTCTCACCACTTCCTGGGGGCCAGACTCCTACACCACACCTGGCCACCTTGCCATCTTGCCAGCTAGGTATGAACTCTTTTTCACAGATGGGGAATAAGAGGCTCCAGTAGGTGAAAGGACTTGTCCCAGGTCACATAGCGTGGCATTGGCCAAACGGACCACAATGTGTGTCTCCCATAGCAGTGCTCTCTCCTACTGCCCACAACCCAGCAAGGGCAGTGACACAGTGAGGCCACTTTGTCGTGAGTCAAGTAAGAAGCTGGGGTTAAGACCAGCACTCAGGGCATTCAGTGTGGGGCTCTTTCTCCTTTCCTCCCTGTACCCCACCATCTTTATTTTTTTAAAGATTTTATTTATTAGAGAGAGAAAGTGAGAGAGGGAACACAAGCAGGGGGAGTGGGAGAGGGAGAAGGAGGCTTCCCGCGTAGCAGGGAGCCCAGTGCAGGGCTCAATCCCAGGACCCTGGGATCATGACCTGAGCTGAAGGCAGACGCCCAACGACTGAGCCACCCAGGTGCCCCATGTACCCCATCATCTTAATGAACCTGTTCCCAAACCTCTCCTTCCCTGCAGGACTGGGAGAGGAGCATGGGCCCAGCCACTTTGGCAGCAGCAGGGCTGCCTGAATTTCCTCTCCAGATCTCAGGACTGATTAGGTCCCAGAAACAAAGCGTGGAACGTGTGTGCCGGAGGCACCCAGCGCAGGCCCTCCCTGCTGGGTCCCTGCCTGGCATTGGTCACCTGGCTGGGCTGGAAGGGCCTCTGGGCAAGTTGGGCCAGAACCTCCCTCCTTCAGTCTGCCCTGAGCCACAGGAGAAGAGAGCTAGACCAGTCCAACAAGTACAGAGGAGGACACTGAGACCTAGAGAGGGGGCCTGACTGGGCTAAGGTCACACAGCAAAGTCCTGGGCAGAGCTGGGTCAAACCAGGTCTCGGACCTAGAAGACCAGCACCCTTTCATAGGCCCACCCCTGGCTCCCATTCCCCCTGCCCCAGAGCAACCTCTCAGAGGCCCAGGAAGCGGCTCAGCAAGCAGCTTCCCCTGAGTAGTAAGGTTAAGGAGGAGGTGGGGCCAGCATTGTGAGTAACCACAGTAAGTTCCGAAAGCCCCAGCTCCTGTCACACTCCCTGGCCAGGCCCTGACCTGTGTGCTCTACCCTCTTCCTCACATTTATTACCCCCCTCCACCATCCCCAGTCTCTGTTGAGGGGCTTGGGGAGGGATTTGTCCACCCCCACTCCAGCTCCAGGCTAGAGATGAGGGTCAGGGGATGCTGAAGGCTCAAAGTTCCAGACGCCAAGATGGCCCCTGCATCCCTTCATCTCCTTTTAATGCCCAGATGTGCAGGGAGCCACCATCAGTCTCCGGGGCAACCACTACCTCTAGCCTCCAAAACTGGACTTTCCTGGAAAAGCCCCATCTCCCAGAGAAAGGCATCCCAGTGTCTTGAAGGAGGAGACTTGAGGGGTCTAATGCTGGCCTGCTTTCCACAGCTTCTTTTGGGGTTAGGGTCTCCCAGGCCCTCACTTTTTATAGGTGAAGTTGGGCTAAGCTGGCTCACGGAGAGGCCTGGTGCATCCCATCCACGTTCCGCACATACTTAGTGTTTAGTGGGTGCTGGACCCTGGTTGGGCTCTGGGGCCCAGTACAGGACGAGATAGACAAGGCTCCAGTCTGACGAGCAGCCTTCTTTGGCTGGGGGCGGGGGTGGGGGGGTACCTATAAACAAGTCTGCAAGGTCAACTTCAGAGGAGTGCTAGGAATAAAATAAACCAAGGGATGTGGAAGGAGGAGCCGGCGTCAGGAGAATCTGGTAGAATCCAGGCAGAAGGAACATCAAGGGCAAAGTTCCCGGGCAGGAAGCCCTTAGAGAAGAACCGCAGGACACTTTGCCTTCAGCGAAGAGCCTGGGAAGGGGTCTGGGGAAGGGGTGGGTGTTCGAACAGGTCACTTCACTTCTTAGGGAAGGATGATGCCTGCATCACAGGACTGAGGGGAGGGTTAACTGAGATGAGGCTCGTCAAACCTCAGCACCGGGCCTGGCACGGAGAATGTGCGCTCAGCCAACCGCGACTCTTGTCGCTCAGGGGCCAGAGCGCCCACCACTCCCTCCAGGGCCGAGGCCGGGCTGCGGGGTGCGAGGTGGGGCAGAGTGAGAAATCCAGTCTCAGCCCCAGTCCCCCGGTCTAGGCAAGGCGGCGGGGGGAGGATGCCGATCCCGGTGCCCGCGTCAGGGAGGCCCCTTGCCAGCTCCCGGGCAGGACACGACCTTCGCAGGGCGGCTTTGTCCGGGCCGCGCAGCCAGGCGGGCCGGGCCTCCCGAAAGGCAGCGGGGGTGGAGCGGCCCCGGAGCTCCAGGTGCTCCGCAGCTCCCGGGCAGGGCTCGGCCGGCCCCGCCTCCAGTGCCCAGAGCAGGTGTCCCTGGCCCTCGAGGCCCCGCATTCCACTCCTTCCTCCTGAGCCCCGCCATCCCTTTGATCCCGGGGTCACGGGCCCCTCCCCCGTTGGGAGGTTAAGGGCAGGAGATGGGGCCTCAGAGCTGGGAAGAGGGGGATGGGCTCAGGGCAGGTGACGGGACCGGGCCTTCCTGGGTGCCTGCCCCTGCTCCCTCCAGGCATCCTGGGGGTTCCCCGGGTTCCTCCCGGGCTTGGGGGGGTGGTCGTCCGATGCCGGGGCAGGGGCGGGGCCAGTTCTCCTCGCCCACCTCCCCCCACCCCCCTGGGGCCTCCCCGCCCCTTTGGGCTCAGCCAAGCGGAGGTGAAACCTGAACCCAGGTTGGGGGCGGGGCTGGCCTGCGCTTCCACCCCCTTCCCCTGCACCCCGGCCGGCTTCTGAAAGAGGAAGGTCGGGGTCCCCGGGCCGTTGGAACAGGTGAGGTGGCGACTCAGAGCGGGAGGGAGGACCAGGCGGCCGTCGGGCCCCGTCGCCCAAGGCTGATCCTCTCCCGCTTCCCTTCCCGATCCGCAGGGACAGCGATGGAGCCCGCAGCCCGGGGTGGAGCCCCGCCCTGAGCGACCCGCCGGCAGCCATGCTGCCCCGAGGGCGCCCCCGGGCGCTGGGGGCCGCGGCGCTGCTGCTCCTGCTGCTTCTGATCGGCTTCTTCCTGTTCGGCGGGGACGTGGAGTGTGAGCGCGGCGAGCGAGGAGGCGAGCGGAGGGGCCCGGGATCCTTCCCCTGCCCACTGACGCCACGTGTCTCTGCAGACGGGCGGCCGCGGGGGGCTGCTGCCGTCGACGGAGACCCGTCTGCGGACCGCGGGGGCCGCAACCGCTCGGACTGCGTCCCGCCGCGGCCGCCGCTGCCCAAGTGCGAGGTAGGTGCGCGCGGCCCCCCGGCGGCGGGATTCTCAGGGGCGCCGCGCCCCCAGCCGGGCCTCCCCGCCCGCCCCCCGGCCCCTGTGGGAATCACACCTGGCGAGCCTCCGCCAGGTGGCTCCGGGACTGACCAGCCGGCCGGGGATGCCTCCCCTGCTCCCGGCCTCAGTTTCCCCATTTGTGAAATAGGGGTGGACTCCTGCTCCGCATCCCCCCGCCCCACTCTTCCTTAGCTCTGTTGCCGGGCGGGGCTCGGCTCCGCTGCCCCATGCCGGGCCAGCCCCGTCGTGGGTCCTTACGGTCCAGTGGGGGAGGGGCTGCTGCCCACCTCTGCGTCCCCTCCCCAGCTCTTGCACGTGGCCATCGTGTGTGCGGGACATAACTCCAGCCGAGACCTGGTCACCCTGGTGAAATCTGTGCTCTTCTACAGGTATAACCAGGTGTCAGGGTGGGGGTGGGGAGTCAGGCGTGGGGAAGGGAACACAGGCTTGGGCAGGATCTGGGAGCTCCAGTTACCCCATCTGCACCACAGGGACAGTGTGAAGGTGGTTCTAACAGTATCCGAAGCTGGGGACGGAAAAGCTCTTTGCAGAAGTTGGTGCTTTCACTCTGAGCCCCTCCGGCGGGTCTGGTCCCATGTTCTTCCTGCTCGGGCCTGTCAGCTTTCCTCACCTGTCCTTCCCAAAGGAAAAATCCACTGCACTTCCATTTGGTGACTGATGCCATGGCCAGGAACATTCTGGAGATGCTCTTCCACACGTGGATGGTGCCCGCTGTCCGGGTCAGCTTCTATGACGCGGAGGAGCTCAAGGCAGGAGCCCTGGCCCTTCTGCACTTCTTTCTGGCAGTGCCCAGCCCTGTCTTTCCTCCTCGGGCTTCGGGGGTGGGGGCGTGTGGGAGAGGTTAGAGCTGCCTGGGACCCCCCAGTCCCATCACACCTACAGAAGCTCAAATCCCTCATCCTCCCTGGGGTGTATGCCTTCTTCCCCCTGTGTCACCCGGAGTATGTTCTGGCACTCATATGCCCTTCTCTGCCAGGTTCATGCCCTGTCCTCCCCTACCCCGCCCCAACAGCCCCAGGTCTCCTGGATCCCCAACAAGCACTACTCTGGCCTGTACGGGCTAATGAAGCTAGTGTTGCCTGCTGCCCTGCCCCCTGAGCTGGCCCGTGTCATTGTCCTGGACACAGATATCACCTTCGCCTCTGATATCGCAGAGCTCTGGGCACTCTTTGCTCACTTTTCTGGTGAGAGGCCTGGGACCCAGCCCCAGCCGGTACCCCCTCCCTGGCCTGTCCGGGCCGCGCTGTGGCCTAGCCCTGAGCCGAGGGCCAGTGGCAGCCTCAGGCAGCTCCCTCGTGCCCTCCCCTCCCAGACGAGCAGGTGATCGGTCTTGTGGAGAACCAGAGCGACTGGTACCTGGGCAACCTCTGGAGGAACCACAGGCCCTGGCCTGCCTTGGGCCGGGGATTTAACACAGGTGGGACAGTGGTGGGGGGCAGGCAGGAGGGGTGGCCACTGGTCTTCAGGCCCCAGGGACTGGGCAGGGCACTGAATGCTAGGAAATCCCCCCCACCCCACCTAGAAGAATAGTGCTGTGGAAAGAACACCAGGAGAAGAGCCGGAAAACAGTTCCAATCTTCGCTGTGCTGGATGACTTTGGCCAAGCCACTCGGTCCCCCTAGGCCTCTGTTTTCTCACCCATTAAATGGGGATGATGTTGCCAGCCCTGGGATCACTGAGAGGGAGAACATGGCTGTGGAGGTGCTCTGTAAGCTGTGCAGTTCCCCCCTTCAGCCCCAAGAGGAATGATGGTTGACCGAAGTGGTCCATGCTCCTGTCTGAACAGTCCAAAAATACCAATAAGTCAAAAAGTAAACACTCAAAAGACGTCTTCGTGACCCCTGACCCCAGGAGCAGGGTTAGCCCAGGTGGGCATGACGACCCCTTCCCCTGGGCAGGCGTGATCCTCCTGCGGCTGGACCGGCTCCGGCAGGCTGGCTGGGGGCAGATGTGGAAGCTGACGGCCACGCGGGAGCTCCTCACCCTGCCCGCCACCTCCCTGGCAGACCAGGTCTGGGGGAGCCTCTGACGGGGAGCGGTGGGAGGGTGGGTGGAGAGCAGGCTCTGGGCCGAGGCATGATGGCTGTCTCTGCCCAGGACATCTTCAATGCCGTAATCAAGGAGCACCCGGGGTTGGTGCAGCCTCTGCCTTGCGTCTGGAACGTTCAGCTGTCAGACCACACGCTGGCTGAGCGCTGCTACTCGGAGGCGTCCGATCTCAAGGTGAGTGGGGTGGGGGCCGAGCGGTGGGCTTCTGTTCCCCGTGCCCATCCTCCGAGTACCACCCTCCTGGGTCCCAGGTAATCCACTGGAACTCACCCAAGAAGCTGCGCGTGAAGAACAAGCACGTGGAATACTTCCGCAACCTCTACCTGACCTTCCTGGAGTATGATGGGAACCTGCTGCGAAGAGAGCTCTTTGGGTGCCCCAGCCCGCCCCCAGCTGGGGCCGAGCAGGTGAGAGCGAGCCGCCTTCCCTCGCCTTGGGGAGGCTCTGCCCCCTCCCTGCTCTGCTGGCACCCGGCCTCGTCTGGGGACTTGCCCTCCAGCCCTGGTCCTCGTCTCCCCGCCACCCCGTCAGGTGCAGCGGGCCCTGGCACAACTGGATGAGGAAGACGCCTGCTTTGAGTTCCGGCAGCAGCGGCTCACCGTGCACCGTGTGCACGTCACCTTCCTGCCCCACGAACCGCCGCCCCCCCGGCCTCACGATGTCACCCTGGTGGCTCAGCTCTCTATGGACCGGTGAGAGTGCCAGGGGCCAAGGCAGGGGCTGGGACGGGGGGAGGTTTCCGGGAGGACGGGTTCAGTGGGTGGAAGGAAGAGCTCTCGCCCGCTGCCTGATGCTTGAGGAGTTCCAGAACTTGCAGACACTGGCTGTGGTTAGGAGCTTGGGTTTGGGGAATCATGCAGGTGCCTGGAGCTGCCCCTCTGTAGCTGTGGGACCACGGGCAAGTCTTAGTATCTCTGGCCTTTGGTGTTCTCATTGGTTACCTGGGAAAGGGCCCCCCTGTGGGGTAGTTGTGAAGATGAGGTAAGAGCAGCTTTAAAAGCCCCGGGAGGGGCTCAGTAAGTCACGTGAAGGGGTGTCTGCGCAGCTGTCCTGGGAGGTGCTCCAGCCGGGCTGACCACCGCCCTCGCCCCAGGCTGCAGATGCTGGAAGCCCTGTGCCGGCACTGGCCGGGCCCCATGAGCCTGGCCTTGTACCTCACAGACGCAGAGGCCCAGCAGTTCCTGCGTTTCGTCGAGGCCTCGGCAGTGCTCTCTGCCCGGCAGAACGTGGCCTACCACGTGGTGTACCGCGAGGGTCCCCTCTACCCCGTCAACCAGCTGCGGAACGTGGCCTTGGCCCAGGCCCTCACGCCTTACGTCTTCCTCAGCGACATTGACTTCCTGCCTGCCTATTCCCTCTACGACGACCTCAGGTGGGCCTGAGGAGGGAGGGAGAGGAACGGCAGACGGGTGTGTGTGGACAGGGGCCCTAGGCAAGCGTGTGGTGGCTCCTTCTTGTCCTCTGTAAGATGGGGTTTGGATTGAGGCGGGGGGGGGGGCGCCACATCGGTTGTCTGGGCTGCCATAGGAGAGGAGGGGAGGCTGGGACCCGCTTCCCATAGCAGCTGTCCTGTGTCTGCCTCCCGCGGGGCGGTCCGGCCAGCCAGCCCTGGGTCCTGCGGCTGAGAAGTCAGGGACTCGCTGGGCCTGGAGCCGTCCGTCCCTGCTGCCCTGTTCACGGGCGCTCCCCGCGCAGGGCCTCCATTGAGCAGCTGAAGCTGGGCAGCGAGCGGAGAGCGGCTCTGGTAGTGCCGGCGTTTGAGACCCTGCACTACCGCTTCAGCTTCCCCAGTTCCAAGGCCGAAGTGCTGGCCTTGCTGGACTCCGGCTCGCTCTACACCTTCCGGTAGGAGAGGCTCTGCTCCGTGCCCCACCCCGCTCCCCGCCGCCCCCCGCCCCCCACTGAGCTCCTAGCCTTAGCTCGGTGCCCTGCCCCATCCTGTTCCACAGGTACCACGAGTGGCCCCGGGGTCACGCGCCCACAGACTATGCCCGCTGGCGGGAGGCTCAGACCCCATACCGTGTGCAGTGGGCCGCTGACTATGAGCCCTACGTGGTGGTGCCACGTGATTGTCCCCGCTATGACCCCCGGTTTGTGGGCTTTGGCTGGAACAAGGTGGCCCACATCGTGGAGCTGGATGCGCAGGTGAGGATGTGCCTTGCTGCCTCCAGTTTCAATTTGGATACCTCCAGGCCCAGGGAGCTCACTACACCTCAGCGTGGCACACGGCACCAGTAGGCAGTACTATTAGAAGTTTCATCCGTATGGAACTAAGATCTGTCCTCTGACCCTCACTTTGGCTGTGAGGGACTCTCAAATAAGCCCGCTCCCATCCCCCAGAGCTGCAATCCTCCCCCCAGCCCAGGCAATGAATGTCCATGTGCCTCCGCCCCTATAGGAATATGAGCTCCTGGTGCTGCCCGAGGCCTTCACCGTTCACCTGCCACACGGCCCAAGCCTGGACATCTCTCACTTCCGCTCCAGCCCCACCTATCGCGACTGCCTCCAGGCCATCAAGGATGAGTTCCACCAGGACTTGTCCCGTCGCTATGGGGCCGCTGCCCTGAAATACCTCACTGCCCTGCGGCAGCCCCGAAGCCCCGCCTGACCTGGTGCGTGGCTCACCCCTGCCCCCCGCGCGGCTCTCACAGGCCCCCTGCGGACGCTGGAGCAACCCTGCCACCCTCCCCACCCTCCCTGCTATTTAAATTATTGAAGGTCTCAGTGGAAAGGGCTTCAGTTGGAGCACCTGCGGGGTGGGGCCTGGGGGCCTCCCCTTGCTGCTATCTATGGCTGGGGTCTACTCTCTCGGTGCCCCAGCCATTTGGGGCTGGTCTCCCCGTCTTCATCTGTACATCCCTTTTTCATAATTAAAGTTCTTCAAGCTCTTTTTCATGTTCCTTCTGGTTTGGGGCATGAGGGTGTGGGTCAGCCAGGAAGAGCTGAGTCTCCCTGGAGTTGCAGGAGGGCCCGGACCCGAGTGTGTCTTGCCCACCCTCCCCTGCCCCAAACCCAACACCATGAGGCTGAGAGACTTTATTTGGCTTTATTTAGTAAAATGTTAAAATAAATAAATACAAATTGATCAGCTGCTCTGGATCCCCCCCGCCCCCTCAAAACAAAAATGAAACAAACAGAAACAAAAACTTTGAAGCACAAAACTCCAAATACAAGTTCTACCAAGACTGAAATCACAAAGGGCGTGGACAAAGAGACAGGATTGGGGGCTGGCTGGCTCTTTTCTGCTCGGAGCTTGCTGACCTCTGGCTGCCCGTCCTGTCCCGCCTGACTGCAGCTTACCCTGGGCTGAGGACCCAACGACACAGAGGTACAGGGGCCAAAGGCTGCTGTGGGGGATGGCAGAGTCCTCAGGGAGGAAGGGCCTCGTGGGGAGAGGCGGGGAGCAAAGTGGAATTTGTGAGCCCTGCCCTTCCTCTACAAGGGCTTTAGAGTTCCACCCTGGCTCTCTGGAGGGGGCGACCCCCAGCGTCCTCCCCTTCACTAATGCCGGAGGGCCAGGGAAATCTTCCCGGGGGCCACCCCCTCCCTTGGAGAGGAGCGGACACCGAGGACGGCTATAAGTCAGGGTGAGAATGGGTCTCCTGTTTCCTGCCAGGGGTGCCCAGCTGAGGGGTGGGGGTGAGGCCCACAGTCATTTACACAGAGCGAAGTTCCCCTATCCAACAGAAGCCATGGAATCTGGAGAACCCAGGGCCTGAAGAATACCTGAGCCACCATCCATCTTACTACCCCAGAAGAGCCTTTTACCCCTGGGGTAAAAGTCTCCTAAATTAAGCCCTTTGAATAAATCAGAAAGACCACACCCTAAAAGGGAGCGAAGGGAGGAAACCGCTTAGAGAGCATCGTGTGACTTGGGATGAGAGCCCAGAGGCTCTGCTGGCCCCAAGAGGAAGAATCGGAGATGGCTGGAGGAGCAACCGTACATGCAGACTTAGTGAGCGGGAAACAGTCACCCTCACTTGCGGGGAGAGGCATGGGGCGGCCGTTGTGCCCGTTCGCACTGCCTGTTGAGCCTGAGCCAGGAAGAAGCCGGGACAGGCAGGCCCCGCAGGGAAACCGGGCACTTAGATGCATGCTGGCTGGAGGTGGCCGCAGGGCAGCGCCACCCAGGGAAGGGCCCACCCGGGGGCTGCCCCGAGCCCGGTCGCCCCAAAGGGCCTGATAAAGAAGGGAGAAAGCAGACCTCTGGATGAGCGCAGCACAGAGGTGAGACAAGACCCAGCAGGCTCCAGGAGAGAAAAAGGACCTGCGGGCGGCATTGGCAAGAACGTGAGGCGGGAAGATGACAGCAACATGAGCTCAGCAGCTCCAGGGTGCAGTGCCTGCGTCACGGGCCTGATCAAGGGCCCCAGACCAGCCACTCCCTGGCACGTGAAGTGACTGCGAAGCCAGCTGGTCTGAGATGGGCCCGTGAGCAGCTAAACCCGGGCATGGCCAAAGAGCAGCAGAGGGAAGGAGAGGGAGGTGGGGACAGCCCAGGTGAGGCAGGCATGAATGCGCGTCTCAGGTGGTCACAAGCACCCGCAGGTCTAGGGCACAGAGAGAGGGTCTTCTCTTGGCAGGACAGTAGAGGAAAAGGAGACAGGGTGACCAGGGCCTTTTCTTGGCAGTAAGTAGAGTTTTGGGATTTGAGTCCAGAATGTGAGGGTTTGGGGGCAGGGTTGCATTTGTACTCCACACTAGCTGACTCACAGAACAGCTCATACCTGCACTTAGGAAGACTCCACATCCCAACCCCAGGCAAGGCCAGAGTGTGAGTACTCACAGCAGCAGGCAAAATGCTGGTCAGTGCCTAGCTGTACGCACGCCCCATCTCCCCCCGACACCCCGGGAATTCGCAGGCAGCTCCTTTTTGAGCAAAGGCCTCTAGTGATGATGATCGTTTCCTAACTCCTTTCAAGAAAAGACAGGTATCATGTGGCAACTCCCAGTCTCTGGGCCCAGACAAGTCAAATGGGAGAGCTTAAGACTGGGCGTACAGCCCGCTGCTGGGCTCTTAACCTCCGCCAACTATTCCTCCAACTAGTCCAGGCATCTCCAAAGCTCCCTGACTAGACGTAGCACCTTGGTTTCTGCAGGAGAAAAGGGAGCTCCTCTGTCCCTCTCAGGCAACCTCGAAGCCAGGGCCTGACTCTGAGGCCTGTAGAACAACTCCTAATCCCCTAACGTTCCTGGGAAGAGGAAATGGCCAGTAGAGATGAGGCATATTTGACCTAAGAAGTCTCCCTTTCTCTTGAATTTGCTTTCAGGGTTCTAACTGGGATCTCTGGGCCTAACTGGGTGAGGGAGAAACTAATGGAACCTTTTCTGCCCCTCCTAGACTCTGGCCATTATGGAGTATGGGGCGGGCTTGGGAGAGCTGTCCCAGAAGAGCTGCGGCGACAAGCGCCTGCCTCCCTCCTGTGGGCCAGGCACGTGATGGGCCAAGATCTCCGATGAGGGCACACACCTGACAAAATTTACTTCCCACGAGGCAAGATGACAGAAATGGTCCGAGTCTTTCAGAACCCTGGTTTTCTCAAGGAGGAGACAGGCCAAGCCAAGGCAAGCACAGCGATTCTAGCCAAAGGTCACCCAGGAAGCTTGTGGATGGGCAAAGGGCAGTAAACTCTATCGCCAGTACCTGGAGCCAGCAGGCAGAGAAAGCGGCTGGAGAGTCAGACCTCTTCAAAGGCAAGACAGACACAAAGGCCACCCTGGGGCTCTTTGTCTCAGAGACACCATGTACCCTCAAGACCTCTCACTCCTTTGTTCTTTCTCAGCACCAAGGGCTGATGCAGCCAGCCTGCCCCCTGCACCCTCCCACCAAGGCCAGGGTGCCTGGGCACCAATGAGTGTCACTGGCCGTGTCCTTCAAAGTTGTCCCCCAGGCACTCACAATGCTGGTGGCTGAAAGACGGAGAGCAGCACCAAAGGAAAGGATCTTATTTAGGCACCAGCCTTTTGCTCTAGCAAAATCCGAGGAGACAATGGGTAGGGCAGGGCCCTGATACCATCCACACTCCACGTGGGCTTCCAAAACAGAAGCCCAGATCCCTGCGCCAAGAAGAGAGGACAGTCCTTTCCGAGGAGGGGAGAGTGGTGGGAGGGCTTGGCCGCTGCCCGTCAGGGCTGCAGTCGTCCAGAGGACAGAAATCATGGAGACTAGCCCACCAGTCTTGAGACACAAACACAGCAAAATGTCATCATGATCAGCAGGTTCTGTGCTAAAAAATTATAACTACACAGCATTTTCTCCAGTTCTGACACCTTTTTAATAGAAATCACTGTTTTTAGGAAACAAATAGCACTTTTGTAATTTTTTTTTTTACAATGTTTCTTACCTTGATCTTAATTTAAGTAACACTAGGAAGACCTCAATATCTTTTATTTTCCTTTTTAATTTAAAAAAAAGTTGTTGTTGTTGTTTTCCCCAGATACAAAGATTTTTGCCCTTGCATAAAAAACAGTGCCCCGAACGATGACACAAGGACTCACACGGACTCACTGGACCTCACTGACACTATGATTCCTATTCTACCATGCATGGCCTCGACTACCCTTAATTGACTGTCAGCCTGAAAAACAGCTTTTCTATTCCTTATTTTAGTTTTTGTTACCAAAAAAGTAAAATAAACAACAAAATAAAACTTTTTTCTTAAAGAAAACAAAACAAAACAAAAATTTAAAAAAAGAGAAAAGAAACATCTCCATTCAATTCACACACACCTGGGTCGCGTGCTGCTTCGCTCAGAATCTTCTCTTCTTATAAATATAGAAAAGGGATGGAGCTTGTTTTCAAGTAAAAATCACTGATCCACCTTGTTTTCCTTCCTGGACACACACACCCTTCTTCCCTGCCCCGGGCAATGGCCCGCCAAGCAGGCCTCTTGCCTGTTCTTGGAGAGGGAAGGTAACCGGATCATCCACGGGGATGCGCGCCAATTTGCCAAAGCGGGGAAGGAACGCGGGGAGTGGTGGGGGCGTCCGGGGAGTGAGGCGGAGTGTGCGGGAGAAGGACCCCGTGGCTGTCCTCGGTGTCCACTTCCCCGTGCATTGTGCCCCACCCCGGACAAGAGGAAATACTGCTTATTTGATAGACTTTTCCCACCCTGGCTCCCTCCCAGCCCCTCCCATCCCTCCTCTGGGCACTGGGGTTGGTTAAATCTCGATTTCCTTTTTTTTGGTTTTATAGTAGTGAAAGTTTAGAAACAGGAAAGCCCACACACTCTTTGGACTTGTCTTCTCTACCTAAACAAACGGCTCGGCAAATAAGGATCTGAAACCTGCTCTCCTCCCTCCGCCCGTCCCTGCTCCCCACCCAACAAAACGCAAACAAACCCATGGTGGCTGTGGAGGCTGCTGCAGGCACACACTGGTGTATAATAGAGAGAGTAAATATATTATTTCACTTGGCATGGTGCTGGCAAAGAACCTCCAGCTGGCACTATTTCATGTAACATGGTCCAATCTTTGCATGTACACACAGAATAAGAAGGATCAATTGGCAAACTCCGGTGCCACCCGGCACTAGCATCTTCTCTCTCTCTGGAACCAAAGAACCAAAAGAATTCTGTACTTTCCAGAAGAAATCCGGCTTTGCTTTTCTAGAGTCTTCAGTGTTTTTGCTCTCCTGGCCGCCGGGAGCCTGCGGCTTCTCCTGGCGGGGCTCTGTTATTTAGTCTCGCCCCCCTGGGTACAGTTCGCTGTGCAGCTCTGGGGGGAGGGGGAGGGGGCCGGCGTGGAGGTGGCAGCGTTGGCAGGGGGGGTACAGTCCGGGCCGTTGGAGATGGCCCCCACAGTGGCCTCAGAGTCTACAGGTTTGGAGAGGTCGATGCCGTGGATGAGGCGGATCAGCTGTTTTACCTTCTCCAGGGAGCTGTGCATCTCCTTCTGCCGGGCCAAGATGGTATTCTTCATTTCCATGCATTTCTGCAGCAAATGAGAAGGGCAGTGGCACTGAGCCTCCGTGGCTTTTCTGACAGGCCTGGCAGCTCTCTCCAGGGAAAAGAACCCTGCTGGCTGGTGTGCAGCCCCTAGACCTTGCTCTGCTCTGCACTGGAGGGGGCACTACCGCCCGGCGAGTGAGTGGTTTAAGAGCCAACCCTGCTTGACACTAGGACTTAAAACCAAATGTGAATTACCACTCCAACGCTACAAAATAAAAGCAATTTAAAAACAACATTCCCAGAGCTGCGCTCAGGCTGGTTTGGGCAGGTTTTGGTATGCCTCTGCCTTGCACATGGGTGCTAATGTGCTCAGGACTGGACTGAGCTTTCGAGAGTAGAAAATGAGCCAGTGGCATCTGGATTCAATTTGAGGGCTACTGAGGATCACTTGGTCGGCAAGAATTTAGAGGCAGGCCTAGGGTAGCACAGTGATACTTGGGAGAATCAAACACTGCAGCCAACAGAAACCCTTCTGCTCAGTCATGGACTTGTAGTCTTTTGCCCTTTTGCCCAAGGTCTCCCACAGCTGCTGGCTTCTGTTCTAGGCAGGAAGAGAGATGAAACCTGCATGCCATGGGGAGTATGGTGACGAGGAGAAAGCAGTGGAGTGGGACAGCCCAACTGCCACCAAGTCCAGGGTCCCACCTCCTGTCCACGAGGGCTGAGGCCACCTGGCTCCAACAAGGGGAGGGGTACCTACTCAAGAGAAATAAAACTTGCTCTGGAGGAGCCTCAGAATCTCTGCTGCAAATACAACCTGGACAGGCCAGGCCGGGCAGTATTTACTTCCAGTACTTGTCTCCAGGAACCTCTCTTCCTCAGGCTGGTCAGGAAAACCTGGAGACGCAATCAGCAGGGTGTGGAAGAAAGGATGGGAGTGACGGGCCATGCAGACAGACCGCTAACTAGGACGACTAGAAAGGCTTCTATGCAGGGACCTGATCTGTGTCTACCTGGCGTGGGGAGAGGCTTCATACTCCTCCCAAACCCACTCAGGAACACACAGGGGTGGTGGCCATCCTGCCGTAGCTGCTACTGCATCTCTTTAGCCTGGAGACTGAAAATCCTCTCTCAGATCAAAGCCACTGGGAGGTTCCAGAGCTTGGCGAAGACACCATATACCAACTGGCCACCTGTCCTGAGGGCCAAATTGTAACTGCAGGCAAACTTTGCGTCCATCCCAAGTTACCTGTGTTAACAAGCTAAAGGACCCGAATCCGCCCTCGGGAGCCACATGGACTATTGTGCACGTGGAAGGGTCCTCCTATCTGTATCCATCGCCGAAGGCATGAACTTTACTTACACTTATAGAATTGCTGAGCTGTTTCACCTTCTGCTCTAGTTGTTCTCGTTCTTGTTTTAAATCTGAACTCCATTTAAGTAATTTCTGTTTCTCTTCTTCCTTTGCTGAAAAACAAAAAAAAAGAAAAGAAACTGTTTTTAACAATAAATTCTTTGAAAAGGCTACTATGTTCAGAATGCTGGCCAAAGAAGGCATTTTGCCCAAAGTTCCCCTGAGCTCCAGTCAGCGTGCAGATCATGCCCACCTAGACTTTCCCTTATTCTGTGTATAGCCGGGAATGCTAAGAAAACGGTCAGTGGTGTGGGCCTGGCTCTAAGTAAGATGCTGCTGCTTCTCATTTTTCCTCCCCAAGAAAATACTACACAAACTTTTCAATTTGTTCAAGAAAAGCTTTTCATTTGTAACTTTAAATTTCCTTTTGAAAACAAAACAAATGCGGCCTTCCCGTAGTTTTGTTTTTTTTTTTTTTTTTTAATCAAGGGGAGGCTTCCACAAAAGGGGGTGTGGATGATTCTTTACCTGCTTTGTAGGCGATATAGGAATGAACAATTGCTAAAGTTCCAGGCCATGGAATTGCTTCTTCCTTCTTCAGCATCTGAAACAAGGTTTAGAATTTTATCTTGAAAGGAGGTATAAACACACATCCCCTGTGTAGTGACAAGCAACGTGTCTTGTCTTATGGTGGACTTATGGTGGCACGGCTGCAAAACCCTGCTCTGTACTTTCTAGACTATGAAGTTCCAGATGCTCCTGACAGGATGAGGGTTCAAGGACAGGAAAAGCCAAGCCACTCGAGCCCCAGCTTGGAAAGAGGCTGGGACCTGGCTGGGCATTCCCAGCTCCTCATGTACACTACACACGAGGCCCAGCAACCCGGGCAGCCACAGCCACTGGCATCCTTGACCGGCCTGTCTCAGGTGTCGCTTTACATGTCCCTCAAAGATAGCCTGACTAAGGAAACAAAATGTCATTTCCAAATACTAAAGTATAATCTGGACCTTGTGCAGAAAATTATCAGATGGTCAAAGAGCAGCTTCAGGAGAGAACACAGAGAGGTTGGTGTCTACTACCTGGTGCAGATAGTAGGATGAGGACCAGGATTAAAAGGGGAAAACCAGAATTCTCTCAAACAGGATTCCAAAGACCTGAGTAGCATGCCAAAGCTTGCTGAGCTATTAGGTCTATTTATTATTTATACTTTGCCTACTTCCAAAAAAGACTGAGACCGCTTATCATAAAAACATAAAGGAACATGGCGAGTTGAGAAAAAGAGGCCAGAAACTAAACAGAGAAGAAGGGAAGAGGCTAGGACAGTTTCAAGCCCATGAAATAGTAAGACGGCCACTTTACAGTTAGTTCTCTGGTCCTGGTGATGATACAGGTTAAAAGTGAAACTGTTGTTATTTGAATTAAACAGTCAATTGGGCACTTTCCTTTAAGGGTTTTATTTCCAAAAGAAGAGTCTCAAAACCACCTACTGGGTTTGGACCATTCTTAGAGAAAGAGGCTGAAAGTCTTACGGCTTTGAAAGAGCAAAGTCATGAGAAGATAAGTCATTTTAAATAAAGGGAAGCAGTTAGAGTCTTTCCACCTATACACAGACTCACCATCTCAGTTATAGGACAGAGAAGCTTGAGAGGATGGACGCCACGAGGGTGAGTGCGGTGCCATGAACAGACCAGAGGTGCCCAGGGGAACTACCAGGAGAGGGAAGAGACTCCGCCATTCCCCCAGATCTGAGGGGAAAGGAGGTCCTCCTGACCGCACTTAACTCCTCCTCAGCCCATCACTCTGTCAGACCCACCCATAGTACCTGGTCCTGACATCTGGGACAGATCCACATGCCCTTGGGAATCGTTTTCAGAGGAGGGTCTAAGCAGTCCAGATGATACACACGGGAACACGTGTCACACATAAGCAACTGGCCGCTTTTTCTGCAAACGCTGCAAAAATCCTCGTGGATATCACCCTAGGAAATTGAGAGGAAAGGTAAGAGAAAGGACAAAAAAGGTAAAATGTGAATGTTAACATGCACATCCTGGACATGTATGTTTCCGGATAATTAGCTGTGCCCCCTCCAACATGTTACACGAGTGTTCAAGGGAAGAAGGAATTACCAATGGCACAGCCCCCACCTGCTCCATGTAGCTGAGGCTCAATGGGCGGGACAGCAGCCTCAAACGAGAGTTGACAGAAAGGCTCTGTAACCACCGGGGCCCAAGTAAGCTTTCCAGGCGACAGCTCAGCCCTTAGGTTTTGGTGCAGCCCGACCCCCAAGTCAGCAAGTTTGAAGCCATGGAATCCATTTACCAAAACGTTCCACAACATGATGCAAACAATTCTCATTACCCACCATTTTTAGGGGAGTTCAGGATTGGGGAAAGCAGACAGACAAGAAACGGAATTTTACTAAATTCTTTGCTTGCTCAGGGAGAAAAAGTGCAGTGCGTGTTCAAATGGGAAAAGGTTAAGTCAGGACCAAATTACACTCACACGGGCTTTCTAACACGAAGAATTTAAAAAGCCGGAGCAACAGCTGATAATGTCCTCTTAAAACCACTATTTGGCATTTGCCGTGCAACGGGCCATTCTATGCTGGGAGGCTTTATTCCTCCCCATAAAACACGTCACCAGACGGAGAAAGACGAGCAGCCCCTGTGCCTGTCTCCCCGCCCCACCACCGATAGTGCTGGTTCTCAGGGAAGTCTGCTGGAGCCCTCCGAACAGGAGGCCCCAGCAGAAAAAAGCAGATCTACTTAAACTGGAGAGGAGGACACTGGGGGGCGGGGGGAGGTATTCAGGTCAAAGGTATTTTTCAGCAGGTCCATTCCTGGCCTGTTCTAGGAACAGGACTGAAGACCCACGGGCAGGAAGACTGAAGGGACGTGCCAGCGGTTACAGCCAGCAAGGCAGCGCCACAGCTGCAGCCCCCTCTTTGCTTCCAGTATGTTGCTTTAGATTTCTAGGCTGTTCTGCCAGAAGGCCTGATACAGAAACTCTGCACAGACAGCAACGTGCGCTCAAGTCTTTTCTGTGCTATGTAAGCCCTCGGCCACCGCTGCTGGAAGAACTTATCCTCCCAGACCTACAGCTTCTCTCTAAAGAAAAGGAAACTTTCTCCTAATTCACTAGGGTATCCAGAGCCTAGAAAACCTGCTGCAAAAGGTTGTAAGATAATCAGAGTGTGGACTCATTTTAGTCTTTCTTAGTAAGAAAATGTTATCTCTGGGCAATAAAAAAGATACTCAGTATATGAGCAAAAATACTGCATGAGCGCACATGCAGCCTTAAAGTTCAGCTTTGAGGCAAAAGAAGTTAAGGTTTCATCCCTCACTTAACTGTAACTTTCTTCTTTCATTCTTAAAATCAGGCTGAAAGGCACTCTTCTCTAGAGAAACAGTCTTTCTTGAACCTGAGTCCTGTGTGAGTCTGCATCTTTATGAAGTTTATAAAAATTTTAAGGTTTCAGAGACTGTTTCACATGAATCCTAGATAAATTACCAGTGGTGAAGGAGACAAAACAAACTGGACATCTTATTCTGTTGGGTAAAGAGTCCTGCTCACTTTCTTTTGCTCCCGAGTAGGAGCACATCGAGAAGTGGAGGGCAGACAGCATGTAAAATAAAGGTTAAATAATTTCAAGTTTCAGAAGAAAAGAAGACTTCATATCCTATTTCCATGTTCTAGAGCAACAGTTCTCAGTCTATTCCATGTCAGGACCCCTCTACAAATCTTAAAATTACTAAGGACCTCAAAGAGCTTTTATGTGTATTTATTTATATATTATTTGAATTATACTTATTGCTATTTACTGTATTAAAAGTTTTAAGTTTTCAATTTTGAAATAATTACAGAATCACAAGAAGTTACAAAAATAGTATACTGAAAAACTGTAAAACCCCAGAACACACAAGTGCACATTCCATGAGCCAGCAGAGTTACGACATCGTTACAGGTCATGTAATATCTGGAAAACTCCACTGGTTACTCTTGAGAGAAAGAGAATGAAAATGGCAAAGAATATTTTAGTATTATCATGAAAATAGCTTTGATTTCATGGACCCCAAAAAGAGTCTCAGGGCCCACACTTGGAGAACGACTACCCATAGAAATGAATAATAAAATGCCAAGGTATAGATTTTATCTACCCAGAGGGGGTTCTCTGCTTAGCTTAAAGAGAGCATAGGAAGTCCCATGGAGGTGCTGCTCCAGGTCAAAAGGCTCAGGCTTTGGTGACTGAATTACTACCATAAACCAAATGTTAAATTGAAAAATGGTGACCCATGATTCTTTGCTAGGAGCCAAGCATGTACATTTTTTGCAAACACCCTGGCTATATCAACCGCAACTTCATCATTTGCTAAAAGAATTTTATAACTATGTCAACATATCTTCCCTTCTCATAAAACGATTGTGGCAACAAGGTATATCCTGAGGATTAGTGTCTGGCTGGGTTTTGTATTACCAAGTCCTTCTAGACGGTTATTGATCCCCAGGAAATGCTTGCCGCTCAGCTGTGATTGTTTAATTAATGTTGTTGGGGCTTGTCCTACCCAGCAGCAAACATACAGAGTCTTGTGTGCTGATTTTAATCACTGCCAGTGTTGGGATACTGTAAAAGTAGAAGTCTATTGTCTTAAAAAAAATCCATTCCACTAGGTTTAACTTAGGAAGTTCTAACATATTTAGTGGTTTTAGAAAAGCCTTCTTTTACCTTTGGATTTCTGAAAAGAACAGTGTTTGCATTTTAAGACAACACCTGGCAGAAGCTTTTACTTTGTGATTTGATCGGAGTAGATCCTTCGAGTTCAGTCTCTCAAAGAAAGCCACAGACCCCCACTAGGGGGTCAACGTTTAGGAAAGAGACTCACTCACGCGCAGAACCACAATGTCACTTGTTCCCTGGCATTTGTACACCACACTGTGGGAGACCCCCACCAAGAGGTCATAAGCCGGCAATCCCTCCGGCAATGCTTCAGCGGCAGAAAAGTTGGGACAACCTTTGGTACCGGCAAACAAGGTTTCTGACAAGAACTCCTGGTACTCATTACTCAGGACAGGAAGAAAACCTGTATCAATTACTAATGCCAAAAGTCAGGCAGGCTGGATGAAATTCTGAATTTCAAGAGCAAGGCTGAGTCTGTAGTCATCAGTTATGTCCAAGGAAGGAAGGCTGCCAGAGAACAGAACTCCACTATTACCCGGTCCTCCAAAGAGGACACACTTCCTTTGCTTTTAGAATTTTAACTCAGAATGTGCATATGGTATTCTTTTGTTCTTCGGACAAGGGTAGATCATTAGTAAGCATGAGAACCTTCCAGTTCAAGGGACATTTTACTTGAAGATGATCCTAAAGACAAGCTCTGTAATTCAGAAAAGAAATGGGACATGTACAAAATGAAACTCTTGGTTTCCCTCCTCAAACCTGTTCCTTTTGCCATCCCAAGTAAAGGAGAGTTTTATCCTGCTAGTTGCGTAGGCCGAAAACTCTGGATTCATCTTTGATATTCATACCTCACGCCTAATCCTGTTGGCTCTTCAAAATATATGCAGACTTGGTCACTTTCCTCCATCTCTACGTTTACCACCCTACCAGGCCAAGCCGTCCTCAGCTCTTGCCTCCTAACTGGTCTCCCTGCTCCCATCCTGTCCTCTCCACAGTCTCTTCTCCAGATTTCAGACACAGTGATCCTTTTAAAATCCAAGTTGATTTTGTAAACACCTTAAAAATAGTAAACGCAGGCAAGAACCATCAAAGGATGCTATAACCACTTGGTAACAGTTTGTTGGGGAACTAGATATTTATATAGACTCAAAGCTATCTCTGCCAGAGAAAAGAGGCCCCTTTACAAGTGGAGAAATTTGATGTGATCTATGTTACGGGATGAAAGCTAACATCACCAACAACAGGACAGACCAACTGACGGCACGTGCTGCTCGTCGTGATGCGCTGAAAAGGACTCACCATCTCATATTTGGTGTTCCTACAAAAATGCATACCCCGAGTCTACTCCTGAGGAAACAATCAGATCATCCAAATGGAGGGACACTCTACACAGAAACTGGCCTACCTTTTAAGAAATGTCAATGTCATGAACGACAAAGAAAAGCTGAGAAACTGCTCCAGAGTAAGGAGATGAAAGAGACAATACCATGGCAACAAATATCAAGAGTGACCTTAACCTGGATTCTGGAGCAGAAAAACAAAGTGCCCCTAAGGCAATTATTGAGACAACTGGAGAAACCTGACTATGGAATATATATTACAGAATAATATTTATTCAATATTAAGTGTCCTCAATTTGATAACTGCATTGTGACTATATAAGAGAGTATCTTTGTTCTTAGAAGATATATGCTGAAGGGTTTCGGGTAAAGATTCATGGTGTCTGCAACTTCTTAACTAGTTCAGCAAAATGTGTGTGGTGGGGGAGCATATGTGGCAAAATGGTAATAACCAGTCAATCTGGGTGGAAGGTATATATTTGTTCTTTGTATTTTCTTCCAACTTCTCCGTAGGTTTGAAATTTTCCAAAATAAAAAGTTGAAAAATTAATGTCACTCCTCTCCTCAAAGCCCTCCAGTGTTCCCCCATCTCCCTCCAAGTAAAAGCCCCAAGGCCCTGCACCCTGGGCCCTGCCACCTCTGGGATGCCATCTCCCAAAATCTCAGCGCTCCCTCTGCCCTGCTCTCCTGGCCTTCTAGCTTTTCCTCCACACCATGTATGTGCCCACCTCACGGCTTTTGCACTGCTGTTCCCTCTGCATGGAATGCTCTCCCCCGATATACTCTCACACCTACCAGAGAGGCTCTCTCTTCCCTCTCTTCATAAAATAGGAGCCTGCTGCCATAATGTCTTATCTCCCTTATTCTGTACCAGTTTTCTTTATAGCACTTATCATTACCTTTTATGTGTTCCTTTGCTTATTGCCTGCCTCTGGCCCTGTAACAGGAGCTCCTTGAGGGCAGGGAGTTGGTTTTGTTCCCTGTTCTAGCCCCAGCCTCAACAACAGCACTTGCTCAGCAGAGTAGTGTTCAGGAAGTATATGCTGACTAAACTCACTGCTTTGTAAATGCTCATTTAAAATCTTAGGGTGCTTGTGAGAGAACCACACTGATGGTCACCAAAGGGGAGGTGAGTGGGGGGCTGGGGGAAATAGGTAAAGGGGATCAAAGAGCACACTTATCATGATGAGCACTGAGTAATGTATCCAATTGTTGCATCACTATATTGTACACCTGAAACTAATATAGCACTGTATGATAACTAAACTAGAATTAAAATTAAAAGCATAAAAATAAGTAAAATAAAAACAAAAAAAAAAAACCAAATTAAAAAAACCAAATAAAATCTCAGGGTACTAGTTTACAATCCTGCAGTTTCTACATGCAGGGCTACTAAACTTTTTCAGGAACCTGTTTGATCAATTCTGCTGAATAAAGCTGCTTGAAAGAAAAGTTTTCCACTTCCTGAATTCTACTTTAAGCAGGAAACAAGGACTGCTGGGGGAAAGTGCACCTTGTTCCTTTTCCTCACCCCAAAACACAGACGATGGAAACCTGAGCACCTTTAAATTATATGAGCTGACTTCCCACCCCATCCCCCTTCCTGAGAACTCATTCACAGATCAAATCCAGATTTTAAAAACTCTGACTGAGCCTCCTGATGTAGGTGGATTCTCAAGGACATGGCAGGACCTGGGGCCCTGGCAGAAAGCTGCCTTACATGGTATACAGGGTCCTGTAGGGATTACTGCTGTTCCAGGGTTAGTCAAGGAGATGCAGCTGGTAAGGAGACAACACATGATAACGGTTTCCCCAATTTAAGCTCTCAGAAAGAGAGCATGCTTTTCCCAAGTTACTTACGTCTGTGGAGGTGGGGCTGGGCAGGGACACAGGCTGAACAGGTGCAGGGAAAGTGAATGTGGTCTCTGTCTTTTCATTTTCAGGGGAGTCAGGATGACTGGATGGGGGGGATGTTGGGGTAAGGGCTCCAAACCCCAGCACTGCATTGTATTTTGGAGGACGACCTATATACCAAGAGAAGGGAACAAAAGGGGAAAAAGGGGGAGGGAAAGAAAGGGGGAAAAATGATCTTACATACCTTTGGCCAGTGTTCCTCATTGGCTAGCATGGAAAAGGAAGTGAGGTAGCAGACAGAAGGTTAATACAACAGTCCCAAAGAGAGGAAGTGAAGCAAAGATTTAAATGTCATTAGAAACAACTGCATGAGTCTCAAAAGAAAGGAGGATAAGAGAGCCTTGGAGAATGACAGGAGGGCTGCGTCATGTCAAAGGGCCTGGCCTTGGGTGGATCAAGGTGACACTCCTGGACTATTATGACTTGAGATTTCTAGCGTGAGAACAAAGCTCAAAGAGGGCCACAGCTAGGAGTAAGAGTTTATTTTCCCACTTCTTCTACATATTGTTCTCTAAGGTTTCTCTGTAACCATCATCCTTATAATCATTAATGATTCCCTGGTCCCACAAATGGATTTATTTAGGATTTCTGCTTTTCCTTTTCTCTCCTATCTACATTTTGGTCACTTTACTGCTTGTGAGGGTGGAGAAAGGCAAACTGAGGAGGCAAAACCCAAGTTAACTATTCTTACCCCTTGCTAGTAGAGCTAGTGAGAAATATGTTCTGGGACTAGCTGGAACCTAAGAGCTAAAAAGATGATCTGAGCTTGACAATGATTTTAAGTATGTCTGGAGCCAGATTCCCTCCCCAGATGATCAAGAACTGTCTCCCCGCTTCCGTCACAAACACTCTGGTGAACTACATGTCTAGGGACTGGGGCCTGTCACCAAATCTCAGAGAAGGCCCTGCCATCAGCAATGCTGCTGAAAGACTGACTGGAACAAGAGCACTGGGAATCAAGCCTCGAGGCTACAGAGGATCTCTAAATGGACCCTGACGGGTGTGGCAAGACTCGTCAACCACTCCTGCTTTATGATACATCTAAGCCAGGGTCCTTGTCAGAAGGGCCAGGATCAAAGCTTCCAAGCTTTGAGTGATCAAAAGTATACGTTCAGCACGGCAAAGGGGGAAAAAAAAAAAAAAGCCAGAGAGGCACACAACTGCCTACAAACACTGGTGAAAGGTTCACAACTTTGCCAACAGTTATAATTTATATCAGGATTACGCACAAGGGTCATGATTCTGTCAGACATTACACAAATATTACCTATCTGTGTTAAACTGGCAATGTCTGCAGTACAAAGACAGGGAATTTAGGGCTGCCCAAAGGGGAAGTGAAAGATGAATGCTCTTTGTTTACCCACAGAAGGCACATCTAGGTATTGTGAATATAGGCTTTCATCCTCTGACCTTGGCAAGTGATGCCAAGGTCTTTCTGGCTCGTTTAACCCCTGTCCTCTTAGCAGATACTCCCCCACCAGCACACCAATTTAACTGTGGCTTCTGACGGGGGGCTCCTTTCTGAGAACTGGGTCAGAGGTCACTAAAAATTGCCAAAAATAAAACAACAAAAAATAACCCACGACACTGGTTACTGTGGCCCAGGAATCAATGGGAAGCAACGACGTAGGGTTTCCCATGGAACTATTTTTTTGCCACCTAAAGGACAGGTAGGTAATGAAACATTAGAATGGGTCACTGAGGGCGGGTACGCTCTCTCTTTTGGGCGAGGAGGTGGGTAATGGTACAGTCGCGGCCCTGCTGCAAGGGTCGGGATGACCTCCTAGGCGTCCAAGAGCTCTGAGACAGTGTGTGCTTATGCAAAAATTAGTATGCTACTCTACTCATTCTGCAACCTTTCTAGCCTGGAATATAATTCAGGGACACATTATCATGTGGAGAAAGGGACCTTGGGGTTTATTACTGACATCAAAGAACAATTTCAGAACCTTGTTTATGAGCTCAAACTCAGAGCTGTTAAGACCTACTCAGACCTGCAGGGAGGGCTGCTGCCTCTGCCCCGCCCACAAGTAAGGGGCACCAGCTGCCCCCCAAGGCCTGAAATATGGGGACGGTGCTCTTTAGGAACTTCTACTTCGGAGAGCCTGTTTCGACCATGACCTCGCTTCCTTCGCTGGAGATGCCCTCAACTCATAGATTCTAAGTTCTCAGTGTGGCTACGTGTCTCTTTCCTGGAAAGTCTGCAGCTCACAGAAACCCGAGTCATGCTCTGGTCTCGCCGGCAGCAGGATGACTTAGACACTACTAAGAACACCTTGGCAACAGCAGGCTCTGTTCTCCTCAGTAATGCTAAAATGCTTCCTTTCACACAATGTTCTGTTCGCTGTGCTATTCATGGACAGCCTGGTGGGCCTGGGGCAGAAATGCTGTATTAAGCCATTTCCTTGAGTCAGCTTTGCCAGAATCCTAAGAATGGAAGCTTGCGATTCAGTATACAGAACTCTAAGGAGAAATATCACTCTCTTCTCCCCCCATTTTCAGAGAACAACAACAACAAAACTATGTTCAAGGGATTTAGGAGTTAGGCTCTAGGACAAGGGGAGGAAGTAGGGGAAAGAAACACGACACAGAAAGCAGAAGCAACAGCGAGGGAGAGCTACAAAAAGGTACTCACCTCTCTTCCGGGTCCCAGGATGCATTGTACTGTTCAGGTATGTGACTGCACTCTTCTTACGCTTTGAGGATTGAAGAGGGAAAGGTAACCAGTTGAATAGCATGGTTACTACTAATACTGGCACAAAAGCTATAGACCAAGCACAGCATGCCTGTCAACACGCCAGCGACTGAGTGCAAGTCACCCCAAGGTCTCAGTGCTAATGGGCTTTATTATATACAGTTGGCTCTGAGAGAATAGAATATTCCAGAAAGGTCTGCCTCTGCTTCAGATGACAGCTGTGTTGAAGCCAAGAGGAGTTAAATTTTTAAGGTAGGCTTGTATTTGCTCAAACTTATGCGAAAAACTAAGGGGAAAGCAGTGAATAATAAAAATGAAACAGTATCATTAGCCAGAGAAAAACCCATCATTTCACAAAGCTGGCCAAGTGTAATCAGGGTACTCTTCTTCAGTAGGTTTTCAGATGGGAGGAGATGAAAAAAATCATAAATAAAACTAAAACGTGAGGGGAAGGCCAAGTTCTGGCCAGGAATACCTCTGGCTCAAAGACTGCTCCGCTGTATACTGGATTTGCAGTTGTTCTTCTTTTTCGCTCTTGCCTCTTGCTTTGGATTTCTTGGGAAAGCAAAAGGTTTGAGTTAGAAGAGAGGTACAGAGAACCTCAAAAACTGAACTTCAGTGTTTATCTTTTGGTTTTCCCATGACAAATCAGAAATGGGGGCACATCCCTCTGTTTCACGGCAGCCTCAGCAGAGGCAAGCATACTGCTGGGAACAAAGGTGTAGGACCATCTACTCTCACCTCTCAGAAAGCAAGACCATGCTGTCCCACAGTGTGGCTCTCTGTGATCCAGAGCATAACAGCACACGACACATATAAACAAGCTGTCCTCATCTATTTGTAGTTCACTGGAATACAGGTGTGGATGAACTTTATCCACAGACCTAGACTGAGTAACCATAGTTCACCATTCTTGAGTTAAATAACTAGGACAGGTGTAGCTTTGTAACTGTTCTTAAAGTTCGAATAACCCAGAGTGATTGAAAAATATAGACAAAGACTTGTCAGAGGGGCATTTGATACTTCACGCTGTCAGGGAAAAAAAAAAAAAAAGAGTTCCTCTAAAGTGAACAGAAGTCATAGAGACAGCTGGGGAGTCTCCCCTGGACAGCAGTGTGGATGACAACAGGGAGGGGAGGGGATGAACGTCAGATAGAGGAAAGGCAAGTTTGACTCCAAAGGAAAGAAAGTCCACACTAGCTGAATCATACTCTATTGGCGTTCCAGTGTTCCACATTCTAGCAATAAATTCAACACCATTTTCAAGAACAAAGCTCTGGGCCAGAAGCAAGGCAGCACCATGAATATCTTCTCTTACCTTCTAGATGGTCATGTGTTACCAATCCTAGAGACACCATGAAGGCAAGTTTCTGTGCCAGAGAAACAAGAATGTACTTCAGTTTGGGTTCTCACAAAGTCAACTGCATGTTCCTAGTTAGACTCCTTGGCAAAGCCAGCCCAACGGGCTGGTCGCTTGAAGGAAGGAGGCCAGGTTCAGGTGACCAAAGAACAGACCTTCCAGAGCCACTCTGGAGGCTTTCTGGTCTTATAAGGATCAAAAGAGAAGGTCAGGGGCCTGCATCTTCTACTTTCTCAATGACAGAAATCAGCATCTTTGAGTGCCCGAAGTTGTTTTTTTTTTTTTCCAGAAAAATCCTCTTACAGGGAAGAGGATTTCATACTCAAAAAACATGCAGAGGGTTACAAAGAGCCTCCCATACAACAAGCTCCAGATGCTAAGTACTTCACTTGTCACAGCAGGCAAGGATTTCTTACATTTTTACTACCAATGACTGGACAATGCTAACTCAAAGCTAAATGAATTTTAGGAACAACAGCAGATGGTTCTGCTTAATATTACCATTTTTAAACCAAACACGGACCTAAAAATTATGGAGGAATCTCTCTTTGGAGAGCACTCTCGGCGCTCCATCAGAAGTTAAACCCCAGGGCGCCTGGGTGGCTCAGTTGATTAAGCGACTGCCTTCGGCTCAGGTCATGATCCTGGAGTCCCAGGATCGAGTCCCACATCAGGCTCCCTGCTTGGCAGGGAGTCTGCTTCTCCCTCTGACCCTCCTCCCTCTCATGCTCTCTGTCTCTCATTCTGTCTTTTGCAAATAAATAAATAAAATCTTAAAAAAAAAAAAAAAAAAGAATACTGAACCCCAAAGCTGGAACATTAGATGCTTAAAGTTGGAGAGAGCAACAAACTAATCCCTATTTTGCACTGTAGTCATGTGGTCTGAAAGTATGTCTTCATGTGCATGTGGTTGCTAAATATGCCAGATAATCATCAATTTCTCTCACTGATTATTATCAATAAAGAATATCATCAATTGTTAGCACATATTCCTGTAGAATTGTTTATATCACCATCTGGTCTTTAAAAATCCTGATAGCTTACCCTCAACATTCAATACCATGATGTTTTGGCCCAAAGTGATAGATTCAAGCTCTTTAAGATACTGAGTGTTTTAGGAAGAAACAGTCCCTGAACAAGCCACTTGAGAACACAGAAGTGTCCTTTACTGATATCCTCAGGGTTCTGAAGAAATGTTTTTATTTTATTTCTTATTTCAAAAACTTAGGTGGGAGCCTATCCGACAGCCAGCGTACTTTAGTAAGGAAAAGCACTCTTAGACTTGCTGCCCATTTGCCACACTGCATGTTGAAACGGCATACACTTTGTGACTGCCAATTAACTACATTCCTGCTTTTTTTCACTATTCTTCACAACCTGATCAAGATTAGAAGGCTGCCTACCAACTGTTCTCTGTTTGTAAAGCAGTGTGTGGTCTGACATTCAGATGCACCTTCTTTTAATCAAGTGACAGTACTCTTCTTGGCCAGTCACATCCAACTCATCTTTGCCAGTCTAGTTCGAGCTCACACAAAAAATTATGAAATAAAAACAAAATCTCCTCTCCTCTGGAAGAGATTTTCAGTGATAAAGAGAATAAAAAGTTGTCAAGAACTTTTGCCTCATTATGTATCACATGTGTACCACAAGCTAATTTATTCTCTTTATGGCAGTGATTCTGTCCAATTAGAAGGTGAAATATCCACCACTAAACTTCGTAGTGGTACTCGCTCGCCCACATTGGACCACCAACATGAGATATCATTTTCCTTTGGTAATTTTGTGGATGACTTCATAAGTTCCTCAGCAATTTGCATCACTGGTACTTCTTTCTGGTTCAAGTTTTGGCCCCTTCTTTACAGATAAATTAAAAACATATCCATTTCATATCAGAAAGAATTATAATTTGTGCTTGTTTTAGAAAAACCTGAACTGGCTTAACTTAATAAATCACTGCTTTAAAAAAGTGACATGAAGTTTTGATGGCTTCATGCCACTATTTGACATGGTTTCGTTAAAAAGAATGCACTGAGGACAGAAGGAAATAGACTGCTGGTCTAATAAAATCCAACTATCAGATATTCATCATCATATTACCTGTCCACATTTTTCTTTTAGAGCTGCTTATACAAGAGCCAAACTAAAAAATTCTCTTGTCTAAGGGGACACACAAATTCACATTGTGTATCTGTACCAGTCCTGTTTGCTACGTAAGTTTGTAATTCTATCCTAAGTTGTAGTACAGATGTTATTATTTTCATCCCTACTTTTAGGCTTCAATGAACAACTTTTGGGCTAATGATTCATTTGGGGTTTGGAAATCAGGTGCAATGCAATGGTAGAAACAAAAATGCACATATAACAACTATAATCGATAACATAAATAAACCTTAACTAAGTGAACCGGATGGACCTCTTAGAAGTGTTGGCTGAGACAAACAAAATATAATTATCATGAGGAATACGTGGGAAAATGATCATTAATCTTACATTTCAAATTTGTAACACTGCATGAAATGCCTGTATGCCAGCTCACAGACACACTCCAGGCAACACTCTTATTCCGCCTTAGGCCAAACCGACTTGGCAATACATTATTGAATACTGAGGAAGCACAAGAAAACGAAAATCAAGTGACTCAGGGAGCAAGTGGCCCTCCTGGTTTGTGAGAATAAGTCACATCTCATAGACTGAGCCATGCCTTTGGAGGGCTAAGCCTACCTGAGGGTTCTCCTCCCGTTTTGGTTTGGGTGCAGCAGGTGGAGTGATGGTACGGCTCTCTGTTTGTTTCTCATCTGTTTCTGTGTGGGATTTAATTGTCTAGGGAAGGAAAATTAAATGAAAATTTAGAATTCACTTTTTATTAAAAAAATGAAAACACAGCTTAACTATAGCCAACGAGGAAGAAAAAAAGAACATACTCAAATTGGAAACATTAATAAAGGAGGTAATATGGATTACATTTTGGAAGGGGGAAAATAAAATGTAAGGCCCCAGTTGAAATAATTAAATTGTGTAACTAGAGTGGATATGAATCTATAACTACAACAGTATAAATTATACAAAAAGAAAAATCCACAGTTTAATTCCTACGTATAAAAATGAGTATAGGTTGCTCTGATTTCACTATATTTTAGAATATAGGGGCAGTTTTCCAGAAGCAAGCCCACTCTTGTTACATATGGGTCAAACTCCAGTCCATAGCATGCTTAAGATCTGAATAATGTGGGACGCCTGGGTGGCTCAGTTGGTTAAGTGACTGCCTTCGGCTCAGGTCATGATCCTGGAGTCCCAGGATCGAGTCCTGCATTGCATCGGGCTCCCTGCTCAGCGGAGAGTCTGCTTCTCCCTCTCCCTACCCCTTCTCATGTGCTCTCTCTCAAATAAATAAATAAAATCTTTAGAAAAAATGATCTGAATAATGTAAAAAAAAAATCTTACATATACTTTCTCCTATTTCCAATTCCAATCATAACCTACGAGAAGATGCAGAACTACCCTCACTTGGGATATTTAACACCTGCCTATATCATTCATTAGAGGAGAGATGCACTTGCCAAGGAAAGGTCATCTTGCAAGAGGCTGACACTCTGATTACCCCCAACCTTGTCTTCCAGATGCATCCATTCAAACAAAAGAACACCAGTAGCATTATCATCTTTAAGCACAAATGGCAGCTAGCAAATTGGTAGACTGGGCTTGCATTACTGTTCTTATTATGACTCAATGGCTAATTCATTTTATGAACCCCTCTGTAAATACTGAAATGATATTAGAAAGTGGATATAAAACTGTGAACACGAACCTAATTTAATTTTTCAAATTAAAAAAATGTGGATGCTGTCTTTCTGTATGGCAGCAAGGAATTAAATAAATGAGAATGAAGCTGATTATTGATGAGGAAGAAGCTTCGGTCCTATAAGCAGGACATCAAAAGTTCTCAAAAATCATTATGCTGTGAAATATGCTACCAGATCTGAAAAACAAATACAGTCACAAAGATCTTTCACTTCTTTCCTAGCCACTTCCATATTTCCTTTCTGCTTCTCTTATTACTTTAAGAGAATGTCAGCATCTGCCTTATCAATACTGTGGCAGCCACTGTTCTGGGGCACAAATGCTGCCTGATATTTTATTTTTCATCAATTCCCTGTCCTATTTCCTCCTCTATATGATAAGCTACTTGAGAGCAGGCATTATTCTACACACATTTTTTTACAGTCCTCTGTGCCTAGTACAAGGCCTTCCAGAAGAATCACTCACTTCACCTCCCACATACATTTTCTGACCAAAAAGGACACAGTTCCTCCATAAAACAAACCACTGAACACACTACAAGGGGCCACAATGGAAAAGTAGCTTATAGTGTTATCTTTAAGGCCCTGGGTGTCCAGAAAGCTTATTTTCATGGCTTTCTGAGTAAGGAAGGGCAGGGGTCTGCGGGAGGGGGCATAAGAGGTCAGCTGGAAGGGTCTGCTGCTCCTCCAAGGCTATGTGAAGTTCCTTGGGGGTCTCTTGATTCCATCTCTATGGCTGAGTGACACACGTAGTGGTAATGCCTCTGGGGAAGGGCAAACCAATTCCTCTCCACTAAGAAATTAGCCAGGGTTCAGATTTTCTCTCTCACTCAAGAAGAGTGCAATTATCTCAGGGTTGGATAGAGAACACAAAAAGCATCCAAAATAAATAAATAAATAAAACAATCAAAACACTTGGGAGATGTCTTTCTCTCATGGAGCTGTTGCTCTGGGGGAAACCAGGCCATGCTGCGAGCAGCACTATGCAGAGGTCCGTGTGGTGGGCAACTGAGCCGCCTCCGCCAACAGCCAGTGTGAAGTGCAGGCTGCCAACAAGCACGTGACTGAGTTTGGAAAGGAGCTATCCAGTCCGGGTTGAGCCTTGACTACAGCCCTGGCCAACCTGTCTGAATGCAAACTTGCGAGAGGCCTTGAGCCAGAAGCACCCAACTAGGATGCATGTTGATTCCTGACCTTCACAAGCTATAGGGGATAATAAATATTTGTTGTTTTAAGCTGCTTAAAACAATCCCAAAACATTAAGGTTGGGGGAGTGAGAGAAATGGCAGAACAGGGATTTCTAAGAAGGTGTCCTTCCACTGAAGCAATCATTAAGCTGGCAAAAACAGAATCAACTTTTTAGAATTCTGGAATCTAATAAAAAACCTTATACCAACCAGGGGGACACTTACTGAAGAAAGAGGCTGCTAAATTTCACTAAGAAAGCATTTTTCCTTACCTATCTACAAACCCCCATTCCACAGCTTGGACAGAGGCTTTGGGGATGGAACCCTGTGTTCCTAGTGTGGCTTGTGGTGCTAAGGGAAGCAACATGGACCTTGTTCTCAAAAACTTGTGGTTGTGCATTTTGACCTGTTTGATGGTTCTCTGAGGACTGGTACAGAGGCTGACCTTCATTTTGCCCACCTTAGGCTAAAAGTGGCTTTTGGGGTGGCATCTGATGAAAGCATCTAAAGACATGTTACCCGTAGTCACCTGGTGCAAGGGATGGTGGATGGAGTATATGGTAGACAGACCCAAAGGCCTGGGAAGGAGGAGACTGAGGAGGAAGATTCTTGGAAGAATAAGGGCTTTGAAGGAGTATCACACATGCTGGGGAATCCAGAGTGTAGTGCATATTCCCAGGGCTAGATGCATGCTCAGAAAAGATGTGAGAGAACCCTAGGCTTACACTTCTGGCTGATCTTTGAGCTCTATCCCAGAAAGAGGTGAAGGCTAAGGTAGGGTTATAGACAGCCTGGCTTAGCATTGAAGAATACCCCTGCTCAGAGCGAATCTGCAAAGATAGGAAAGTTTTTTTTAATTTAGTTGTTGTTGCTATTATTATTATTATTATTATTATTATTATTATTATTATTATTATGTCTTTTTGGCTCCAGTTGTTTAAGGAAATCTGTCAGGTCACTAGCTGACCCAAGACAACAGAACAGAGATTTCAGAGACTATACATGACAAGAAATACAGTTTTTGCAAAAACAGTTTGGAAAAGGCACTAAACAGACCTCAACAATCAATAACAGCAAACTCTGGGGTGGGAGGAGAATCTAATTTCCAGAGTTATCACACTGTAATTTCAAAATGAACAGTTTAACAAAAAATTGGAAGGCATACAAAGAAACAGGAAAGTATGGCCCATAGTGGGAAAAAAAGAAATCAACAGAAACTGGCCTTAAGGAAACCCAGACATTGGACTCTTTAGAGAAAGACTAAGTGTCCTAAATATGCTCAAAGAGCTAATGGAAACCATGGATAAAGAACTGAAAGAAACCAGGAGAACAAGTCCCCACCAAAAAGAGACTATCAATAAAGAGACAGAAATTATCGAAAGGAACCAAATAGAAACTCTGGAGCTGAAAAGTATAAAAGCTTAAATGAAAAATTCACTAGAGGGGTTCAGGCAAAAGAAACAATCAGTGCACTTCAAGATAGGACAACTGAAATTATCCAGTTTGAGGAACAGAAAGGAAAAACATGAAGAAAAATGAACAGAACCTAAGGGATCTGTGGGACATTATCAACATATGCATTATGGACTCCCACAGGGAGAAGAGAGACAGAGAGAAAGAAGCAGAAATAATACTTGAAGGAATAACAGCTCAAAACTTCCCAAATTTGATGAAAGACAGGAATCTACACATCAAAGAAGCTCACTGACATCCATATAGAATAAACTAAAAGAGATTCACGGCCTGGGGGGAAGATGGCAGAACAGAAGGACCCTGAGCTCTCCCTGTCCCTACATTTACAACTAGATATCAAACACGTCCAAATCAATAAATCAGAGAGCAATCAGAAGACTGGAAGAACAAACTCCCCAACTAAATATACAGAAGAAGCTGGATCTGAAAGGTTAGGAAGTTCAGAAAGGTAGAGAGAGGTTACCTGCAGGAGGGAGGGAACTGTGCGCATGGAGATGGCAGAGAAATGGGCCCTTGCACCAGGGAGCTCACATGGGGAAGACTGAGCCCCATAATGTTGGGCTTCAAAAATGGGGCTGAATTTCATAAGTTTTTTAAACCAGTAGGACTTGGAGCCTGGAGCTTTAAAAGTCAGCTGACTCAGCACTGAGCAAACCAGGAGGGTGAGTGATAGCTGGGTCAACACCCTTAAAGACAGCAGCCTGAGCCAAGAGGCAAAATAAAAATGGCAATGTGCACAACACTTGGGTCAAATGGGAGACAGATCTGTTCATACTGATTTTGGAGCATGTTGGAGACTTCTCCAAAAACAAAGGAGCTGCAGGTGCCGTTTTCCACTACCCCCACCCTTCCCCCAAGCATAAACCTGCGGGAGGCAGTGCTGCACAGACACTTGCTACCTACCCAGCTAGGAGGGCACCATGCCCACGAGTTCTCTAGAAGACCGGCCCATTCCATGCCTGCTAGTCTCGGCCCTGGGCTCAGTGCAGATTTTGTTAGTGCGCAAGCTCCACCTAGCCACAGCATGCAGCATGCCCCCTTCAGTCCCTCGGTCCTGCACGAGGCACAGCCACATTCAGCCTCACTCCACTGGCCACCCATAGCACTTTGGGAGACTCATCACAGGTCTAGTGGCCCAGGGAAAACTGTGCTACCAGCCCCACGCTCACCAGTTCCCCAGTGGGCACAACCCCTCAGAGCTAGCCTGCCTGGATCTCACGAATACCACAGAAAGCAAGCACAGCCCACAAGAGGCAAAGAGTCAGGACAGATGACTGCACTGAAGGAAAAGTGACTCAGACTCAACAGCAGGGTGTAAGCAACACACAGGATACTCTCCCCAAGTGCCAGGTTCTGGGGAACA